TTAATTAAACAATGCTCTTATTATATGTTATTTGTTGTATATTATTTTTTAGCAGTAAGATGGTTGAATTATATATCAATCAATGTTGTAAGAATTTTATGATGGTCTATTATCAAAATAATCTCTTTGTATAGTTTTTCTGTTGTTAAAGTCTTCAGTATAAATTTTTCAGTAATTCTCCTATGGTAGTATCAATTTGTCTAGAAGTGGATATAAAAAATTATGTTTATCATATCAATATTTATTTAGGGGACAGATTTTATTCTTCTATCACTGTTGCAGGTTAATGACAAGTGAAGTAATGTGTTAACGATAACAGTTGCTATTCATTGTCCATTTGTTTTTAATACAATGTATTCGATAATTATTATATCAATTCACTGGATCACATCAGTTGTATTAATTAAAATAGTATTAATTACGCCTGTTACTCTTCGTGGAGAAGCATAGGCCGCTCACTAGGATCCCCCAACCAATTCTGTCCTGGGCTCTCCTTTCCAGTCGTTTCCGATTGCTATTCTGTCTCTTGATTTCTGTCTGCGATTCCCGACGCAACATGCTCTTAGATAATCCTCTTTTCCTTCTTCCATGAGAAGTCTAAGTCAGGGCTTGTCTTGCGATGCAGTCCGATGATTTCCACAATGTATTTTGTACTCACCTCTAGTGTCTTTTCCTAATTTCCTCTTCAGATGGAGGCTGGTTTGTTCTTTTCAACAGTAGGTTGTTGCTGATGGTATCCAGTCAACGTACACTCAGTATATGGAGTAAACAATTGTTTATAAATACTTGTACAGTTTGGTAGTTGAAGTTGTTCTCTATTTTCCTGCTCCATACAGTAGAACTGTCTTGATGTTCGTATTGAAGATTGTGATTGATGTTTGGCTTGCAGAAAGTTGTTTTGAGTTCCATGTGTTCTTCAACTGTAGGGACTGCCATTCCTTACCTTTACGTCTGTATCTGATACTCGTTGTTCATCGATGATGCTGTCCAGTTACGTGAAAGTTTATATCTCTTCCAGAGTTGTATACCGTGCTTCCTCTCCTGAGATGTGTAGGTCTTCATAATCCAGTCGGCTACCAGAAGGAAGAGAAAGGGGGAGAGTAAGCAGATTTGTCTGACACCGGTCCTCATTTAGAATGCATCTGTCAGTTGTCTTCCATGCACGACCTTGCAGTGTAGTCCGTTGTATGAAGTCTGGATGATGTTGACGATCTCAGGTACACCACAGTGTTGAGAAAAAAGTTCAACAAGACTCTCCTATCCACACTGTTAAATGCCTTATAGTCAAGGTGGTTGATTTATAGTGACGAGTTCCGATCCGTAGTTTCGCTATGTGGTCGGTACACAGTCGGTTCACACGGAATTCGACCCGTTGATCTCGAAGTTGGTCGTTAACTGAATCACTTGATTCAATGAAACTGTTGAGAACTTTTCCTGGTAATGATAATATTGTGATGTAACTATAGTTCGTACACTTGCAAAGGTCTCCTTAGTTAAAATCATAGTACCAAAAATTAATATTTTAATTAGCTTTTCTGGGTACTTGTTGATATTTTGTCTTAGTATTTTCAAACTCAACAGTATGATAGTTAATTTTTTTGTTACCATTGGTTAGTGATACTACATTATGTGGTGTAGCTATATGTAAAATATATTTTAAGCATATGAGCTACCCAGGAAATGTGAATACTTCACATGATTCTTAAGTACCTTCTTGTTATTTTATTTGATGAAAGTATGTGTTGTTTCGAATACAACATTTGCTACTTCATTATTAACTAACTAGAGCCAATATAACATAAACTTCAATAGTATTGGAATAAAGATCTGTCAATTTGAAGGAACACAGTACAAAGAAACTAGCAACATGAAACACTAATATTGGTTCTCAGCTATGACACCTGTTTATTTTAAACCATTAGTTTTATCGCCTCATAAAATCTCGTCAGTATGTCGCCAGTTATGCATATGACTCACAATAATAGTGCGTAAGATCATCAATTATCATCATCTCCTGAACTGGTTATCTCTTATATTTTTTTCCATTACGCTCATAATTCAATGAATTTTTTGCATGATAATACACATTTACCAAACATTTACATTTTACCAACCAGTCGACGATTTCTGACAAACTTAATTGCCGGCTTTATAATTTTTAAATGCTACTTCAGCATTTTCTCACATATGATTAACTTGAATCACGTGAATACTACTAGTACATAAATATATATATATATATATATATATATATATATATATATATATATATATATATATACTGAATTCTCAGGGAATGGCTTACAAGTTTTCGCATTTTACATCGTCTTAACGCTGAATTTCAATGATATTTCTTCAAATTCACTATTAGGTTTTACTTATTGTTGTGCGTTATCAGATGGAGAAAATATTGTCAGAGTTTGGGTAAAAATAACAATCTTGTAAAATAAATGTACTTTTCAATAATAATAGTATAAGTAGTTGTTATATGAAAAGTTATTATATTCATATCACTATCACATGCTGTTCAGAATTTTGAAATAGTGATTTTTATTAATGCTTATTAATTTTTCATTTATTCATCTTTGTGGTACATAATGAAAAATGAATGGAAAACTATTTAAATTTTTATTAGAAATTTAACTTTCAGAATTGTTTTAAAAATTTCAGTTTTGCCTTAGTGATTGTTAATTAAGACAACTAATTTTCAACTATTAGGTTGGAAGCAAATATGAATGGTGGATGGCAGTGGGATCTAGGACGCTCGTTTCATTCTATTTGGGACTCGTCAGCTGGATGTACCCGTATTCCAAAGTTGCTGTTCACCCCGGGACTCGAACCCAGTATCATTCGCTTCAAATGCTATAGCGTTATTCACTTAGCTTCTGAGTCCTGACAACCACTAGCTTGTGCAATGGGGTGAAGTTTAAATTCATTTTTGCTTATAATGCTTGTGACTGGAGGCAATATCGCAGCAATCCTTACGGGATGGACATATACTAATGAGAGACTGATCAATTACAGTTTTAAACATCAATGAGAAGATTCAAACAAATAACAAAAACTGAATTTATTAGGTTGGAAGTTGCAAGCATTATTTAACTTACCAAATTCAGTACGAATAGTCGAAAAGTATCATCGTCTCTCAAGTTACTAGTATTAATGAAAACTGGGTTTATGAATATGCTTTTGGTTGTTCATAAATTTAGATTTTTAAAAGTTTTACACTTAAAAAAGAGCATGAATAAAACTATATTTTTGTATATACATTCATCTTGTTTTAGTTGCATTCAGTAATATAGATACTTTTAAATAAAATATAGTTCTTATCATAATCATTGACGGTTAAGTTATTCTTAACAGTTGTTCTTTTTATTCTAAAACTCATCTCTCTCTCTCTCTCTCTCTATATATATATATATATATATATATATATATATATATATATATATATATATATAAATTGTACTGATAGAGCTGAGTCTCTATAATGAAACATTTTATCCAGTGCACTGACTAGCCTAAACTAAACCAATGACATAATACATACAATCTTTTGCTGTGATTCCTATTTATATCATTCTACAGCATTTGATTGAAGTGAAATCGAAAATATAATTGATTTCAGCCATGTTTTAAAGGTTTATGATAATATTGCATTACATCAGTTTTATTTAAAAATTTGTTTCAAAGAAGTTTTGATAGCATGTCACTATTCTTTTTTCATATCAACTATCTTTCTGGGTTAATAAACTATGTTTAATTAAGAGCAACACATATTTTGTTAACGGGTACTCAACATATGTCATAATGTCAAGCAACTCATTAACCTATGATCATCTTCTGTAATGAGTATAATATACACATCTCATAGTGTATGATGGCTAAAAATACTATCGAGTTATTCAGATTAAAATCTGTCATTTATTGGTTGAAAAATTAAGTACCCGTAGATCCATCAAACTAAATTTAAAAACTGTGACTTTTGAAAACCATTATTCCTGGTTTAAATGGATTTATCAATGAGAAGAAACAGATTAATTACTTTGTTTATAAAATTTAAAAATAATAAGAATTGAAAACTTTTCATTGAGACAAAGTTTGGTCATTTCTAAAAAATTCTTCCATATATCCAAGTCATAAAATGGTTTCGTGTAGACATGAATTCGTAAAAATAATTTATACAATTATGCTAGATATCTTAACCGTTTATATCAATATTAGTAATTGTTTTATTTATTTATTTGAACAAAAATATTGGTACAAAGGGACACCGAATACATATGCGCTACACAAGTCACTTAATTTGTGTGTGGGCTGATACTGCCTGGGTACCCAGATCAAAGTGCGTGATTTTATTGGGGGGTCACACCCGGCGCCTTCGAACTAAAGATCTGATCCACAAGGCGGTAGAGGAACATCAAGAGATGCGGTCCCATAGTAGCCGGTCACCAACAATTAGTTCATACGCCATTTGCTCTCTCAGGATCCTGGCGCCCATGTGCATCATGGAGCCCATTGTTGATATTAAGTACTGAAATTTGATCAGTTTTTGTTGGTATATATGCATCCTGATGAGATTTCCTGGATATAACCGTTATGACACAAGTTTTTATGTAATAAAAAAATTATGGCTAACCATAGATTCCAAGGTGCGTATTTCTTTTTACTTTGACTCATTAGCTGGATGTATTCTCACTCTAGCTGACAGTTGTCATAAAGCAGGTGTTCTTTTATTGCTGATTAAGCGAATATTCACTAACAGTAATTTATTGGGGTTGGTTACCTATTCATATAGACTTCTACATTACGATCTAAACTGTATGGAAGCGTTCTTCTAAGCTTTTTATTTTATCTCTTTTTTTTTAAATTTTGCACAGGTCTTGTTACTTATGAGTAGTTAAGTTCTTATTGATGTATTTTTGAGTAGTGTTATATATATCCTTTATCATAAGTTTATCTGATTTTAACTTTCTCTATAAAACGAAAAACCAAACCAGATCTCCAGTCTGACATACCTCCTGATGTCGGTAATAACTTAGAAGCTGTACAAAATCATTCTAACGAATCCGATCCAAGTTTAGGGTAAGTTTTTCATCTTGTTCTGTATTTCATATGATATATTCCAAAATGTAGCACATATATGTTAATTCATTCCAACTCAAGTATGAATGTAAAATTTTATTTATAGTTATAATACTCACTACGTTTCTAATTACCTGCTTTTAATTAGCTTTTTTTGTATGTTATATAAATCTGATTTTTTCTAATTAATAGTATATGCTTGTCTATTTGGTTGCTTTACCTCGTTTATTAAGCAACATGTGTTTTTCTAACGACAAACTCTTAGCATATTTATCATCCATGTACAAATGAAGACTTAGTAAAGTTGGTTGTGTCTTGGAGTTGATTTCGCTGAAGATTATACTCATTAAGAACTAGATGGTAAAGAGATTACTTCACGGTAATTGCGTGGTTGTTTGTTACGTACAATCATAGGATATTTAGGACTTGTTAAAGATTTTAGTAAAGAATGAAAAGAGGGAGTTTCTAGTGATAGTATAGTTTGAAATTGCTGGAATTCAAACATCTTAATCACTAAAATTTGACTTTGTGGATTAAGATTGTTACTGCGATAAAGTTTGTATAAACTAGTTGATCATTACTTATTTTTAGCATTGCTTTTGTGGGGATTATAGAATTTTTATAGTCTAAAATCACGAAATTATTATAGATAAACCTTCATTAAGAGTTAGGAAGTACTGGGCATTTGCTTTTTAGTACGAAACTCTTCAGCAGTACGTACGACGATCCCACGATAAGGGTCTTCGATCTCACGCGCAAACGGCCACTGAGCCAGTGTCTGATGGTATTAACGTTTAACTTTAATCAAATCACGATATTGAACGCCCATCTTCGACTGCTTGAGGTGGAAAAATGTCTCATATGACAGTTGAGGTCCCCTAGTGGCAACTTAAAGGAACTCTGGAGGCATTGGACAAGGGTTGCGCAATGTCGTGATTTGATAGAAGTTAGATGTTAACACCATTAGATGCCGGCTCAGTGGCCTACATGTTAGGCGTTGGGAATTTGTGTTGTTTCTCATTTCAAATCCCTGTATTTATGTAATGCTTGCAGAATATGACTGATTTGATGTTGAGGACAGGATAAATTTTGATATCCAGTATCGTGTGACATCGGTGCTGTATAGTAAATTTTTTTGTTAGCACCAGAAACAGAGCTTTGCCGGCTGTTAAATCGTGGGTCAAAATTCTAATACATCTACTTTTTGATGTAGAAATCATAGTATCTTGGTGTCTAGAATTGTTCATTATCTTTCTTCATAGACATGCTATATGCTATGGAGTAAAAGTTTGAACATTAAACCCCATTATCGCTGCATATCGCTCTATATTGTTATGGTAATCTTCTAATATTATGTTATTGTTGCATAGCTCGTTTCATTCTACTTAACTGTTTGATTTTTTTCTTAACACTAGTGAACCTATGGAAAATAATGTTGAAAACAACAACGCTATTCCCGATGTTATGCAAGTACGTCTATAACATAAAGTGTATTTTCTCTCTCTTATTTCTTATTTTAACTATATTTTAGTGATATGACTTTTCATGCATCATTTTTCATACTATCATTTCATGTCTGTATCCACTAACCATTATATTTTGGATTATGTTAGTTATTTTATAAGATTGTAAATTTTGGAAGTTTACAAATAATCAACCCAAAATGATTTATGCTAAATTTTCGTTATATTAACGTTCAGTAAAAGTAAATAAAACCTATTAAACTTCTCCATTGCTTAAGTCAATGTAGTTAGGATAACGCTATAGGTAAGCTTTTAAAATTCAACCAAGTCAATAGTTCCGTGTGGATAAAAAAAAACTTTATCGTTAGTTTTTGCAGGTATTTATTAATGCTCTTAAGTGCTGTTTATATAGCTCGAAAATTTCTATTTAAATTCTGTTGTGATTATGTTCGTATCTAAATGGTTTTTAATGTAACCAGTTTAGTTGAGATTAATAGAGCTCATTTTGTCTTATAGAAGGATGAAATGGTTTAGATAATTGATTATCCAAAGAATACGTATATACATATTTATACCGCGAACAAGAGGATTTCGAATGCTACTAAATAATTGTGGACAGTTGTCATTTCTTAATCACCTACATCGTAGATAGCTATTTCCTTTTGAGGCACCTGAAAAAGAGACTGAATTGGTAGCGATCACGGCAACCTGGGAGTGTCCTCTCAGAGCACAAAGGACAACTGCTTGACACTGATCACACAAACTTTTCTGTAGTAATTAGACCCTTTTATAAAGTTCGATAGAGCAATGAGGAGACTGAGTTGATCTGAAAAATGTGATGTATTTGCGTTATACATTTCAAACCATCTGGTTACACATACACTTGTCAGGGCATTTTATATGAAGATTAATAAAGGTCAATTAAATCAAAGTTCAAGATTAGCTCTGCAATTTAACGGTCATACTACTGGCGGGCGAAATTCATGTGGTAAGGTGAGGTGTGCTATTTCCAGGATAGAACTTTCCTAATCCTTTCCTTTTGCCTGAGGGCAGCATCGATTTTGTTTCAGGAAATTATTTGGTGGCTCCACACCCCTGTGTAGCCTGTACTAAGACTTCGCCTTTGGAAACTCATTTGTTACTTTTAATCTTACCGTTCTCGAGCAGATCTAGCTGGCATGTTGGGACCTAAAGTAGTGGACGTTCCAACCATTATAAGCCGGTTCAATCATCATGGTAGACATCAAGGTAGTAACTACGGTTGGGTTGATGCGGATGAAGAACGAAACCAATAAAATTAGAATAATACTAAAATGAACCAAAATAGTGGTAATAATAATATTGGATAGTACATAACAGTAATGTGCAGGGATCACATCAGAGTATCTTTTTGTCATGAAGGTGACGTCGTGTTTCTTCACTATTTGTAGTTTTTAAGTTGACATGTCGTCTTTGAGTTATAATTTTTTTACTAGTAGCCTTCGGAAAATATGTTCATAATATAGATACTTAAAGATAAATTGCATAATATCTATTCATTTAATTATTTGAGCATACCCTTATCTAGCCTTAGTATTGAACAGTTCTGAATATACTTCAGCATTCTTCAATGTTACTTGTGTCTAGATGATTCATAATATTCAACGTATTGCTAATTATTTTTAATTCCGTTGAAGTGATTATGTTCAGAAGCTATAGTTGAAGTAAAACTTGTTAGTTGGTAGTTTTGTCGGATTATCAATACAAGCGTCCTGTGTTTTAACAAAGGATTATCACTCCAATATAAGTTTAATAATTACTGAAAACGAGTTTTGTAGTAAGTGTCACACTTTAAATGTGAAGTTTAGCCTGTTTTCTACTTTGTTTGATTATCCATAAGCAAATGGAGGACATTTGTTCATACATAAAGGTTGTTCTATTCGAAATGGTTTGTTAAGTCTTGATGTTGATCATCACTTCACTGTTACACTAGGACGTTTATGTTTACATGTAGTTAATCAGCTACTTTAGTAAATGTTGCGTAATTTTTTGTAATTTCTTAGGTAGCAATGAGTAATTTCTAAATTTATTTTATTTGTAAATCGTGAATTAAATACTATCATGGAAAATAAATGTTCATTTAAGAGAAGAGATACATCACTTACAGATAATATAAAAGTTTGCATACTGCTTTAATTAAAATTATGGTTTTTCTATACTATCATCTAAGTATGATTTTTTTGTAAATAATTGTTACAGTCAGATTGTTAAAATTCAATTATGTAGGACGTAGTTGTTTTCATTCTTCAACAATGTTTGTTACTGAAGAGTAAGTTAATCTATATGTGTACATTAAAGAAGGTGATATTTTCTCGTGATAAATGATTCCACAAAAAAAGAACAACATGATATCATACTGATCTCCAAACAATGAAGCGAAAATTTTTTTAAGAACGATAGAATTGAATTTCACATTAACTGGATGATTATTTATTTAATAATTTTCTTGGTAATCTGTCATAGTTTATTTTTGTAACAATCTTAATTATGCTTATCCTTGTAAAATAAAATCAATAATCGTTCATCTTCTCTAAAAGGAAATAATTATATGAGTAATTTAAGTAACACAACTGTTTCATTTTCTAAACTATATTCAAGAAACTCTGATAATTAGAATAAGTATTTGCAAAATAATACTTAAATTTATAACTAAGGTTCATTACTTGTTAGTGTATTTCAAATCATTCGGAAGCATTGCATTATTTGAACATCCCTAACTATGCCCACCCTTCCATAGATAGGCATATAAGTTTTAAAGGAAATTGATCTTAAAATATGTCTATTTTTATCAAAATAATTATATTGAATATTTTTCTATTGTGAATAAATTTTGTCAGATAGTTAGCAACAAATTTTGAACCTAGTTTTCGTGCTATTAGGTTCTCGTCAGCAAGGTGTATCTGTAATCTTGAGGGAAGTGATCCTCCCTGGGGGATTCGATCCCGCCCCACTCAGCTTCACAATCTGAGTATGTCACGACTTAATTATGCAAGCTGTTACTGACCTCCTGTAAGACTAATATTTGGGTAATAGAGTGATTCCTGAGTATTAATCAATGTCACGTTTATCTAGTCCTTTAGAGCTGACAGAATTCTATTGATAAAGTTGCAATGTGCCTGGTAGTTTAAGTGAATCGGTTTCTCATTCACTGTATTGAGACGTAAGATGGTTTGAGGCAGTTAACAGGAAGCCTGGTCAACACTAAAGGATTGGGTATTTGTAAAATTAGTTACTACTCGGTGACAAATCAGTTGTTCATAAGCTTTCAGTACGTAATAAATGAAATAGTTTTAGTTATTCATTCTACAGAAATCCCCCGATAACCTTTCACTAGTTTCGTATAAATATAACAATTAGGGACTCAAGAAATAGTCTTCTGGAAACACAAAGTTTAACTAAAGAAAGCGAATAAAGCTAGTGAGAATTTCGTGTTGATCAATGTTTGTTAAATATACTGTGTAGTTATATTTCATAACTTCTTTTTTTGTAATTTAAATAATTGGTCATGATTTTCTAAGATACCAAAAATATTTCTAGTAATTTTTGGCTTTTATCACTGAAATCCATTAGTTTGGATGAATATAAAGACAGAAAGTTCACAGTTGTTGTGTTGTTTACATAGAATTACCTGCCGTTGTAATATATACAATAACTTTTATGCTTATTGTCAACAATTTAACCAATCCTAGTTTTAAATTCTTCATTAACAAAACAATAGATTTATTGTTTTATGATTAGATCTGATTGGAAGAAAGTGTTTTGTCCATTCTGACTTGAGATAAGCCTGATATTATTTATAAATGAGCACCTCTAATATAAATATGAGATTAATGTATAAAGAATCGATTATTTCTATTTTCAAGTGGGAGAAACTGTTCTATTTATTATAAGTATTGTGTTTTATATACAGTCATAAAGTTTATTAGTGGTGAGTTGGTTTGTGTATTGTTTAGTTAATAAAGACGCTAATAAGTAAAATTAGATTTTGGTATAATTTTATATTATCTTTTATAATTCATAAGTTTATTATAAACTAATCACAAAGGATTTTATAATCCAAACAGCTTTTAAATTCGCTTGTTAATCAGATGGAATACTCAACATGGATTATCTACACTGACCTTTAAAGAACTGTCAAACATACTGAGGTGGTGATTTTATCTAGTTGAATGAGTGCATTGTAACGGTGTTAGCTCATACGATACCATGTGATTTGGATTATAGTGTCACATCAGCTGATAGAATATGGAAATATTAGTTATCTACTGTTAAGTGTTGGCAATATTCGAAGTTCTCCTTGAACATGAAGTATTTGTAATTTTACGTTACTAATATATATATATATATATATATATATATATATATATATATATATATATATATATATCAATACTTCCTTCTTATGCATTTTTAATATCCGTTCTTTGAAATATATTGGTCAAATATTAGCTTTCGAAGTAACATATGCTCCCAATCCCTACTCTGTTGTTTGATCTCGAGAAAATTATTAAATAGCAGTTAACAATCGTTAAACTAAATTATCAACTGTCACTTAGTCAAACGTAACATAGAACCTCGCACATGTATACACCAGTTCAAGTTGCCATACCCCATTAACACAGAGAGATGAATCCCAGAGTGATGGATGTAGCAACAGTATAAGTGGTAATGGGAAAAATTTGGCATAGTAGGTCAGACGCAAGAAAGTATAAATTAGTGAATTAAAATGATTATGAGGAATTTAGAAACTCAGGATCTTAGGAAAGGGAAAGAGTAGATGCACCAGCATCATTGCAAACAATTTCGAGCCATGTCATTCAAGGTCTTTAACCATTGTTTACTGTCATTTCTCGTACCCCAACCAGGTAGTCTATACCTGTTAATCTGGTTCAATCAAATTGTCAGCGACTCCATAGATTGGTGCCATGTCTTGTTTTTACCATTTTTAGCTTTCTTCCAGCTTACTCTTACACCAGACAATTTCGTCCTTTGATGTAGGGTGTGGTCGTACCTACGCAACATCTGTCCCAACCACTGTAGTTGGAGATTTACTACCTCATAAATGGAGTTGTCATTATTACCTGATACCCTATCTCTAACGCAGGGATTGTTCATTTGATAGTTGAAAAATAATTAAAAGATGCCTTGATGACACTTTTGGTCGAATACTAGTAACCTTTGAATTTCTATTCTAAGTGGCCATTCTCGACATTTATCAATTAGAAGGGGACCGAACTGCTAGGCAGTATGTTATCATCAGGATATATGTCATTTTATACTAGCAAAAAATATAACTTATGTAGAATATCAATAAGAAGTTATTATGTTGTGCAATATAACACCTGATCAATTGGGATTTTGACTAGGTTTAAATCAAATGGTTATTTGTTAACTCTTAAACAAAATTAAAGACAATTCAGCGGTGAAAATGTGCTTTTCGATTATTCCATTTACTGAAATTGTACAATCCTATTTACAATTAGTTTATTTGCTAAAAATGGTAATCTATAATGAAACAGAATGGTGTTGAATGATTAAAATAAAATTTATATGGTACTGTGTCAAAAATTTCTTACAAAAGGATGTTATGTAATAATCCAACGGTTAATTACAAATGTTAAGGTGAAGATAATTGCCCACTAGATAGAAACTGAGTACAAAATCATTAGAATCTGTATTAATGGTCAGTTAGTAATCGTGAAAAACTATCGGAAAAAAATCGGAAAGATTATTGAAGATAAAAAAAAGGTTGCGACCATTCTATAGTTTACTGTGATGTGCGATTGTTAGCAAGTAAATGAACTACGGATACGATTATACAGCTTAAGTAAATGAAATCATCAAAAAAATCTTTTCTCTGAATACTCAAACAATTTTAAGTATATACCATTATTTTACCAGGCTAATTTTTTCGTAGTATTCTTGTATTTAATGTTATATGTGATTAATCAGCTTAGAATGGGTTTCGAGCATAGAACGTAGTGGTTGAATGTTAAGGTGTTTAGCAATTAGAAGAGTTTAAAACAATTTTCAGTTAACTAGACATGAGCACTTGAGTGGTATAATTAATTAGCCTTCACACCAAGAAGTGTGTTTGAAGGCTAAGTACAATTAGCCTGTACATAATTGATGTGTTACCTTCAGTAAAATTTTTTATGAATTATTAGTGTCTAAGTTTTCTCATTTTATGATTACTTCTAAAGTTTTTCAGGTTTTGGACTATAGTAATATGGTTTAGAGTATACATTACTGTTGAAATAATGTTCCGTAAAATATTGACCTTATTTTTTATGCCCTTAAATTTCGTAGCGTAAATTTTATATTCGATCAACCAATCATTTGGTTTTTAATTCTATATATTATTTGTCTTAAAACTAGCATAAAGTTTTACTCTATTTGTTTGTATATACGTATTACTATCATATGATTATTGATGCATTTATTTGTAACTGAGTGATGTCTCACGCAAGTTACATTATGAACTGTTTTTGCAGTTTATTTGTCAAATTTTTATAAGATTTATATTCTTATGCCTTTTACAAAGTCTATAAGATTATTTCTACATTCGAATAGTAGTAAAATTTAGTCAATTCAGTTAGAAATCATGTTAATTTCTTAAAATGATCTGTTTTTCATTTTTTAGACTTCACGTATTGATTCATCAACCCGACCAGCATCACCAGCTCAAGCTGGAATGCTTAACAAATCAGAAACACCTTTAGTAAATGGAAGAGAAAACTCTCAGCTACCTCCTCAATATCCGTTTAAATCATCACGAGATTCTAAATCAAATGATACAGAATTAATTGCACTACGCAAGGAACGAGATCAACTTTTAACTACAATTGAAGAGATGAAGTAAGTGCTTGCTTATACTATTTGTTTTTTCGGCGAGATTAAAATTTTCGGACGAACCGATCAAATTTGAGATAACGGGTTTTGGAACGTGGTTCGAAATTCATTCACCTATTTGGCCAAATAGCGTTTTGATATTTTAGCCGATGTCAATTCGTGATGAAAACCCTAAATCTAATTTTTAAGCCTAAACATCAACTGTAAATCATAATTCTAATTCTTCACGCTGGTTTATAGCCGTCATTTAGTTATAGTTAGTAGGTGGACATTCTCAAGATCACTTTAGCGTCTCTCAAAGGTCGTCCATAAATTGTAGTCTCATTTCTTTTTCTATTGATAATTACTCTTAAAAGGTCTTTATATGGAATTGTGTTTCCTTCGAGTGTTGTAGGCATTATATTGTAAAATTTCATATAAACTATTCATTAAACATAAACCAACCAAAACGCTAAATCGAGTTCAAGTATAAAATCTGAGATATAATTTATTAGAAAACTAATGTTTTTTGTCACTACCATGAATAACTAGTATCATACTCTAGTTGTCAGTTATGATCTGTATTTTCTGATAAAGACATACTGTGCTATCATGATAAACAACATACCATATAGAGGTATGTATTCACGGTGTTAAAATACACCAGTTTTTGTGAAGTAATATTAAGGATAGATGCGGTTAAATCATGAAGTATTGACCTATTAAAAAAGTCGGACATTTTAATTATAAAAACCGTTATTAACAATTCACAAATTCTACACATTATCATTGACTTTGATGTTTATTGGGATTTTAAAAACACTGTAATTGTAATTTATATGATATTTCAGTTAATCTTGGATAATGTCTCACGATTCATGACAGATGTGCGCTAAACTAAGTTATCACATTTCACAACGTCATTAGCGAGAAATTATATGGATCACAATAATGAGTAGCAATTCTTCTATCGACGGTAGTGAAAATTAAATAATAGAACTGCAGTTCGCGAATAATGTTTGAAATCAGATGACAAAGTATAAGAATTAAATCTTGGGCTTATCAGCGATGTATACCTGTAAATGTACAATTAGTTTTCGAAAGATTTGTTACTATTTCGAAATATCTACCGATCACATATTGAATTCACTCTAATTATGCTTAGTCCTGTTTTGAAAAGAATATCACTTTTGTTTATATCATTTCTACCACTTAATTGTTCCATTTTTATCAAATTCTCTAAAGTTGTTTTCTTTTTTATCCTTAAAAAAACAACATTTTATGCCCTGCCACCAACTGATATCATCATGGTTGTGAATTATTATGTTTTTCATTTAAATAATTCCCTTTTATTTTTTTCGTGAAGCGTATTACTCCTTTGTTTGAAAACGTTGTATTGTGGTGCACGCTACTTATGCTGACAGATATAAACAGTATGTAGCAGCAATCGGAAGTGAAATGCTTCCCAGCAGAAGGTTAAATTAAAGAGAAGAGGGAAAGAAACAGAGTAATTGAAATAACAACATAATTAGGAGAATCATGAAGTATGCAAACGACAAGTGACAAATGTGCAAACAATGTATGATTTTCATATTTTACAAAACCACTGTGTAATTTTGCATAAAACGCTAAATTGGTTTATTCTACCTGGGTTTTCTTTCATTACATTTGTGTTGTTGCCTACGGAAAGACGAAGATGGAGCGGTCCTGAGGACACCGTTGCAAGGCTGGAATAGGAGTCGTTAGTTGGTGCGATCGGGTACAGAACTTTTATAACCAACTAATTTGACTTTCTCATTTGTTAAGATTATTTTTCATGTTTATTTATATATGTACGTGTATACGTTTTCTTACGTTCCAACAGACATTGTATCACAGAGTATGATCGTAGTTTACAGCATATGGTTGAAGAGAAAGCTCATAGTCAAAGAGAAGTAAATATTCCAGTAGCTGATTTAATTAAAGAACGTGATGAAGCTGTAGAAGAGTTAGCTACTATTGAGAAAGCGTTTGGGGATTTACACAGACGTTTTGAGAAATCAAAACAAATTATAGAAGGTTTTAAGCAGGTTTGTTTTTAAACGGTTATATATTTTGTTACTTCCATTTCTTGTCATTTTTATTCTTTGTGTTGATTTTTTATTCTGCTTTTGTTTTAAGAAATATTATGTCAATAATTTGTACTTCTGTGGAGGTCTATTACAACATTCTATTTGTTCTGTGTATGTAAACTATTCCTTAATCTTTTTTTTTATTACTTCAAATGAAGCATATTTCATATTCTAGCTCAATTTATTGCATGCTGTGCTGACGTAGTATTATCATTGGTGGTCTATCCTTCGAACTGCAACTAAATCATTATTGTTCAATTAGCGCTAAATAACTGAATAAAAACGTGACATTGATCACTACTCAATAACTAATAAATTGTAAATATTTCTTAGTCCTACATAAGAGTTTCTCTCAGCTCAAATAACTCAATGTTAACAACTCAAACTGTTGATCTAGGTGATACGAGATTAAATGCACCGGGCCGGGTCAATTTCCTCAAGAATACAGATACACCTCGCTCATGAGCATTGAATATTATAAAACGCAAATCCAGAGTTTACTGTTAACTATCTCCTACAGGTGGTCTTGACTCGTTTAGTATCGTTTAGTTGTTTATTTTGATAAGAAGTCTGTGAAATTAAGGTTATAGGCACTTCTTTCATCAAATGTTTCTCATGTATTATGTGTATGCAATATGGTTTCAATCTTGGTTAATGTTAGACAGACGACTGCAGTAAGCAGTGTAAAACGATGTTTCCATTATTTCTTTTTGTATTTAAGTGTAGTTTAAAGAGAAAACATCGGATCATGTTTATGCCTTGTTGAGTTTAATTTGCTTTTATTTGTATCATTTAGTTATTTGTTAGTAGTTACTTTCACCTTAAGTTGTTGACTTTAAATTTATTGTAATCCTTCAAGTAAAGTAAATTTCTAGAAATTTATGAAGTGCATTTAACACAGTATAATTCTTTTTAAAAAAAACGACGTATGTTATCTGTTTTCATTTGTAAAATTTGTGTACTTTTTCCAAGTATAATCTAGTCTGACCGTACTTATACTGTACTTCTTAACTCTTTTTTCAATATTTATTTCCTTATTTGTTAGAATGAAGAGGCTCTAAAAAAGAGCATCGATGAGTATAAAAATTTATTACAACGTCAGGAAAGAAAATATTTAGCTTTGAAAAAACACGCTGAAGATCAGCTATTAAAGTGAGTAGCTGTTAGTAATATAAAATGTTCTATATTTTACTGAGTAGTAAAATATGGCATTGTTTGCTGTTGATTGGTTAGTTATGTATCCAGCTTAATTTCTGTGTAGGTCTTGAGTAGCTTGTTAACTGATCTGGGTCAGGATCGGAATTGATGATTTGAGCCCGTCGACTATTTTATTTACTTTGGCAGACCAATTAATCTGATGAAGTCTTAGCATGAATTTGCAAACTTCTCTTGTCTTTTGTTAGAATTGGTTACCTATGGCATAGGTGGGATGTTTGTTTGCCAATGAACGTGTATACTGGACAGCAATTCGCTCTACTTTAATTTTTGTTTGAAACTTTACCTTAACAAGTAGAGGGTATTCGCATTTTACTACTAATATATAACCCAACATGTCTTCGAAGCAATGGTCATACATAGTGAGACCACCGAGCGAACAGTGTTGGTGTTAAACGCAGGATAACAGGTGAAGGTTGCAAATCAGCTGATGTAAAAGTGATTCTCCGTCGATTCAGATTGTTGCAAAATGTATTACTTATGCCCACCCACCGCCTACCGCAATAAGCAATGTTTGGAGTGAACTGAAAGAAAGCTAGGTGGTGACCAAACCAAGTCGTGGCATCATTTCACGAAGTTACTGACTTTTGAACTGAGTCACGTTGGTGCAAACTACTTGGTTGGGGTCCACATGATTATCCAATGGTTGCAAACGTTTGTTTTGTCAATTTCGATCACACTGGAAGTCGTATGTGGAGAAACCTAATAACTCACATCTCTCTGAAGCCTGTTCCGATAATGTCCTCTAGAAAGATATTCAAAGTTTCACAACCAAACTACCCATCTCAGAGAACAAAAATCCATGCAAATTACCCACTTTTTTACTATACTGTGACTGAATCATATGTATTTGTTTAATATGACGTGCGAAGTTCATTTTAATTTGCATTTTAAATATCTCTTTCCATCTGTAAATAGAGTAAATCAAGACACAGAAGGAATAAAACAAGAATATGAAACAAATCTAACTCGATTACAGGCTTCATTAAGAATTTCTGAACTTCAAGTTAAGAGTCTTGAATCTCAGTTACAACAAAAGGTATGTGATAATTTTGATTTTTGATTTTGCACGGCCTTTTGTTGTAAACATAAATTTGTCATTAAAATGACCACTATATGCCTCAATGAAAATATCGGTTTTTTATTCTATTTTGTCGTTCACTAATTTTCTTTGTGAAAGAACCGTCTTACACTTTAATTTCCATAGTTTAAATCACGAAGTGATCTTATATACACCGCCTTTGAAACATAGTAGCACTAAACAGCTGTTTCGTTCTATCATAGGACTTCTCAGCAATGAAAATCCATAAACCCAGAACTTTCGATCTTTCATGCGAGCGCTTCACCTCTTGACCACCGAGTCGTCATCCGACGGTGTAAATATCTAATTTCAATCACTCCACGATATTGCGCAACCTTCATTCATTGCCTGAAGTGGGTAACTGTCTTACACCCGATGTGGTTGAACTTCACTGGTCACAGCTTTTCACTAGAACTCCAGGAGTTACATATTAAAGTTGGTCTTTAATGAGCACATGACTGTTATTAGTAAAGGGAAAATTGTATTGGTTGTAGAATTTTCATAGTTGAAATCAAAAACTGACCTTGGTCAAAACATCATTGAAAACCTTTTTGTAGTGTTAGTTTCGTATGAGTATTCTCCATCCAGTGATTCTTTTTTGTTTGTTTAAAATGATTGTGCCATACATATACCCGATTATTATTTCGTGCGTGTACTTTATGTGATAAAAATAAACTTTACTCCATGTTATTTGCTTTTACCAACCAAGTATCAATAAGAGAGCAAAGGCAAAGATTGGTACAAAATAATATGAATTCATTTTATTTCTTTAGGTTCACATCATCCATCTGCATACAACATATATTTTAAAATCAAAGTCATTACAGTTGTTGACATACTTATAAATACGAAGGTGATTAGAAGTGAATATGTGTATCATGATGTAGCGAAGATTCAAATAAAATTAATAAGATCATAAAATATTTTGATTCAGATAAATAAATAATGTGTAGGAGAGAATGTTTCAGAACATCATTTATTATTTCAACTCTTTCTCAAGTTTTGATTACATGATTGTCGTTTTTCTTTCATTTATAATTTTGATTCGAACTAATTGATTTCAAGTCATATCATTATTTTATAGCACTAACCTGTTTTCAGTTACTTCATTACACAACCATCTAAAGTTTGTCAACTCTGTTTTCTAGTCATTAGTTCGATGTTCTAGAATCTTTCCCTTAAACATTTTACTTATTTATCTTAAACAAAATATTTTATAATCTTATTAATTTTATTTGAATCTTCGCTACATCATGATACACATATTCACTTCTAATCACCTTCGTATTTATAAGTATGTCAACAACTGTAATGACTTTGATTTTAAAATATATGTTGTATGCAGATGGATGATGTGAACTTAATGAAATAAATTGAATTCATATTATTCTGTATCAATCTTTGTTTTTGCTCTCATTAAGATAATAAAGGGATTTATGTGTATGAAACAAGTTTCAATAGTTCACGCACTAAAAAACACTACCAGTCAAAACTGATCCAAATACTTTAATTTATATTCACTGGTGATTGAATTACATGAAGTTTCATAAATTGTACTACAAAGTAGCTAGTATTTTTCACTTTATTTAGGTATCCCTAATTTTTATTTTTCAATCAACACAAATTGAAACCAAATAACCATTTTAGGGAAGTTTATAGATCTTACATATAAACATTTTATGTTGATGAGTTTACGTGTCAGATGTTGAAGAAATTCGTTCCTATCATATCGCGCCTATTGAATTTTCAGTTGAATGAATCTTCAGATTTTATAGAATATTGGAATTTTTTCAAAAACGAAGATTTGTTATCACTAAAATAATGCATTCGGAATCGTGGTGCTTGAGATTACTACACATTATTTTCATACATTTATTTGGTTTATCTGCAACAGTTTTGGTAGTCATTGTACCGACTCTCTCATCAGTTTATCTTTCATGAGCGTTCTACAATATACGGAATGTTAAGGATCAATGATCATTTCATTCCCAGTTAGGACATTACGTTTCCCATTTTTATTTCGAACAATCCAGTCAGTTTTTTGTTTATAAGTTCACGGCTATCTTTGAAATGTATTGGTAATAATTCGTCGGGGCTTGGTGAATCATGACTCTTCAGAAGTTGGAGTCCCCTACGACCTCTCCATCGTTAGGGGGATCAGTAGTCATCGATCAAAGAGCACAAGACTGTCTGTTCCGCATTACTAGAACAACAGACCAATTAAATAGTGTACTAAAACGCTCTGCTCAGCGTTCGTAACGCATTTAAAAGTAACTGATTGACGTGCTATCACGAGGAAGAGAGGAATCCCACCTCCATTATCTGTCGCAGGTCATTTCGGGAACAAGTTTAAATAAGTATATTATACTAGTCTTATTATTTCTAGGTAGTTATAATCTTACGTCAGTGTTATATGGAAAAATAGGTGAGTAACAACTAAGATAAATTTGTATGGTGCTATTGTTTAGCAGTTACACTGGTAGGATATTGTTATTAAGTCATTTATCTTAGCTTACTGTAATCATCTGTTTTAATCTATCAATATCCTATCGTTAGCATTTTTAATTATCAATGTTATGTATAGCCTCCTTGTTGTTTAAAACAGCTATAACTTTTACACTAAGTACACGTTTATATATTCATCTTTAAGATGGTAATTCTACTCGGTTGTTCAAGCTGTAGTAGTTGGGTCAGGATTCGAATATGCGACTTAAACCTTGGTAATCGAGTCCTTTAATCACAAAATCCACATTTCCATTATCTAACATAGACAAATAAGTCACCTTATTACTAAGTCGGAAGGTGAAAGTCACATTGCTAATTAATAAATTTAACGTAACTTCTTATGGTAGAATCTGACTTCATAAAAAGTACATTGTGGTTAAAATAACATCAATTTTTTGTTGTAATTATTTTCATTACTTACTCTCTTTATAGTCATTTACAATCGTATTTCATTCTTTATTTCCAGACTCGTGAAAATGAAGAATTAACTAAAATATGTGATGAACTATTAAGTAAATACGGTGGAATAACATGATATCATCATGAAAATGTTATAGATATTATTTGTGTATAATGGAAGACAAATGATGAGTTTTCAATTTATTTTATTTTTCAAAACACTTTTTTCCTACCTACATAAATCGTCTTCTAGACGAAGAAGAAAATGACAATGTAGAATCAGAAGGACTTATTGATGAAGATATCTACCCATATACATATACATAAAATAGGAAGAAATTCATTGAGTGTTATTATTTTTGTCCTCATTTCCTCCTCCATTTTAATGTGTTTGTGTGTGTATATTCAAATAAACAATTTCTCTCTTACCTAACGCTTACGCCATTTAGTATATATATATATATATATATATATATATATATATATATATATATATATATATATATAGAGAGAGAGAGAGAGAGAGAGAGAGAGACTCACCTGTACGTTTTGTGTTGTTGATTGCTTTCGTTTTGCTTGGTTTATTGTAAAGTGCCTAATGCATTTTTTAACTCATTCTAATTCTGTGCTTAAAGGTGGAAACAAAAAAGATTTGATGTGATGATACAACACTATCGAAAATCCTAATTTGTAAACCATAGATCTTGATTTCTGTTATTATTGTTGTTTAATCACTGTTCAATCTTGAATACTTTTGGCTGTATTGGTTGCGACATTTGAAAGTACTTTCCTTTTATCATTATATATATATATATATATATATATATATATATATATATATATGAACCCATACACACGTACCAACTAACTTATTGTTATATTTATCTACTCAAGCAGATATATCACTCAAATATAATACATTGCAAATAAAATTATATTAAAGTTTTGGTACTGTTTGTAATATCATAGTGTTAAAATCTTTTGAGTTTAGGAAGAAGAAGACTTCTTTTGCTTTGATTGATGTTGCTTCAACGCTGTGGTTCGTTCTAGTAAAACTTAAGCATTGAAATACATATGATCTCAATTTCGTCTAAAATGTCCAGTAAGTGTCAATGAACAACTTAGAGTTTGATTATGCATTATAAATTTGTGATTATAAAATATTCTTTTGGTATTGTGGTGTGGGTTACATATATCCACACAAGTAGTATATAACGGTGGTCAGGCATAGAATGTATTTCAGTAGAAGGTCGATGAGGAAAGAATGGGAACAAAACGAAATCGGTATGAAAACGCGTGAACAATGAAACAGTCAAGTTTGATATGGTGGATTGATATTTTGCAAATTGACGATTTAATATATAGTTCTCAGATTTTATTGAGATGCTCTGTAATTATGTGCTTAAATACATTCGATTGTCCCCACTGATGTTTTGTTCACTACAGTATTAATTCGTTATTCCGAAATCAGTTTTATGCTAACTGATAAATATGACTGCGCGCTTGAATCAGTTTTCTAAGCTCTTCTTAGAATCCCTGGCTAATTCTATACGACAACCTGAACACAAAAGAAAAGGCGCGCAATCCGTAAAGAACGCTTTAGTCTAAGGTTGATTTATATCCGGAAAATGTAGTGTATTTATAGCGTTTCAGATGGCCTTGGGCTTCTGAAAAGTTCTGGAATGCTATTAAACATAGTAGCAGGATAAGGATCATCCAGTCAGAAATGTGACACGTGACTCTCCACTTTCTAGATGTTCCTGAGAAATTTCTATTCAGTGCTGATTGGATAAAATGTTTCCCAGTGTCCTTAGAGCTTTTTTTTTGAGAAGTTTGCTGGTCTCCCCAATAAGAATCATGAGAAGTAGAGTATAGTTTAATTAGAATTAGTCGTTATTTGCTGATGCAACTTGAAGGAAATGGCTACAGAGTTTTGAATAGTTTCCAGTTGTAATTTTGTTCATTTTTCCGAATAAAAAGATTAGGTATGAATTCGGAAGAGCTTGTCACATTGAACTGGAGGTAATTAACATTAATCAATCAGCAGGTGAATTTATGTATGTAGTTTACGAATTCAATAGATTAACACCCATAACTAACAAATTTAATTATATTAGTGGGTTATGTATTTTCTTCTTAATATTATTCATCTTAACGTTTCACTTTGTTCAAGGATTAATGGGTCTGTTAATGAATAGCATTCTTTAGATGCGATTTCTCTAGCCCAAAAATTTATAAAAAGTTCGTTAGAATGTTTACATGAACCCGCATACTACATCAGACAGAGTGTAAAGGTCAAATACCAGTGTTTATGCTTAAAATCTTTTATTAATAGGAATAACATTTAATTATACGATCACTAGCGTTGAAAATATCGCGGTGCCAAACTAAGCAGGATGGTAACACTTGAAAAGATGGGGACACGCTGATTTCTTTTGGTGGTCTCTGATTACACTCACACTGACGAGCTTGAATGAAACAATTATGATTTTTCATAGGAACGTTCCTGACTTCCAGAACACTAGGTACGTAGGTGTAGTAATGGTAGCAGTTCACCTTATTGACCAGTTATATAGACCAAACTGAGTTGAAAGACGCTTAAGGTCTTTCATTGTCCGAGCTCAGGTAACAGTTATAGTCTGTAACTATGCTCACGTAACCGTCTATTTGTAGCAAACACCAAGTTAAAGTATGAGGAGGGTGATCGTCTGACACAGTGACCTCCAAAGCCGGCTAAATGATTGATGTGAAAAGACACTCGCCATCAGCATTTTTGAGAAAGGTTCGATAGGAGATTACCACTCATTTTGTAGCACATTTTGAAAGTATAATCATACTTTAAAGAGAATATGCATTTGTCTCCATCATAGATACTCTCAGGAACCTAGTAAATCTAAACAACACACCCTATAAAAATAACATAAATCTGGCGAAAGCCAAATCTATTCATTAATATAACAGTATATGATATTACTTTACAATATCATTGATATAGATGTTCTAAATACAGTTGTAAAACACACTAACAAGTAAAATCTATAGTAAATTCAATGATCACACTCAAGTGAAATATAATAAAACTCATTTACAGAAAACATTGAACTAAAGAAAATCTAGATATTTATGCTTACTGTAATCTGAAATGGCAGCATTAAGAAAAGGTTTCTTTTTAAAATTTACTAAGTAATCATGAATAAAAACTACAAATTCTAAAATAAAATGATAATCTTGGTATATTGTTAGTGTGTGTACCATTAGCTTTTATTAAATTTTAATGCTAATCGTTTAATTCGTTCATTCAACCGATATACTGTCTCCTCATCACTACTTTGATTGGCTTTCGATTCATCTAACTGTTGGTTAATGTCATTTTTGGGAGAATTAGTTGATTGATTTTGAATTTGTGACCATGGCCTACGTTCACGTTCGAATTCATTGTCAATTATTTGAAATTTAGTATTCATGCGATGTTGTCCAATTGATTGACGTGATCTTATTCTAATGTTATTGTGCTTTTCATTTGTGTTTGTTGACAAGTGCTAAGTTAAAATGAGAAAAATTAATATGAAGAAATTGAGAATTATTTTTTTAAACTTTTGGATAGTCGTGAATGAACTACATATATCCACTGTTTTATATAATTTTCTGTCTAGGATTTTCCACATATAATTTATGTAATCTCCTTCATTCAATTGTCTAGAAAGATATTATATAGTGTTTACATCCAACAGATAGCTAGCTAATTAAGATGAAAAGTTTCGCTTTCAGTACATATATTAATATTATTATTTCGATTTGAATTTACCACGACAAAAGTCTGTAGTTTGACTAAAGATTGTTCGGTCAGTTCAGTGCACTATTTTAATGATGTTCGGGAGATTTAACAATCTCTGTAGCTTGAACAATTTGAAAATCACGAGTTTTACTACTCACACTCATTGAATTTTAGGGATTTTTCAGTCAAAAAATGTTTGAAGAAATTTCAAAGAGCAAGTGAATTAACCAGTAAACATCTTTTGTTGAATTCAAACTGAAATATATATTTTGATTGAACTATGTTGGTAGTCCAACTCAATCAATAACTGTATACAAGTTCATATTATACTCAGCATTGATCAACATGTATTTTGGCATGGAATTTGTTGATACTGTCTTCAGTATAAATTTTTCAGTAATTCTCCTATGGTAGTATCAATTTGTCTAGAAGTGGATATAAAAAATTATGTTTATCATATCAATATTTATTTAGGGGACAGATTTTATTCTTCTATCACTGTTGCAGGTTAATGACAAGTGAAGTAATGTGTTAACGATAACAGTTGCTATTCATTGTCCATTTGTTTTTAATACAATGTATTCGATAATTATTATATCAATTCACTGGATCACATCAGTTGTATTAATTAAAATAGTATTAATTACGCCTGTTACTCTTCGTGGAGAAGCATAGGCCGCTCACTAGGATCCCCCAACCAATTCTGTCCTGGGCTCTCCTTTCCAGTCGTTTCCGATTGCTATTCTGTCTCTTGATTTCTGTCTCCGATTCCCGACGCAACATGCTCTTAGATAATCCTCTTTTCCTTCTTCCATGAGAAGTCTAAGTCAGGGCTTGTCTTGCGATGCAGTCCGATGATTTCCACAATGTATTTTGTACTCACCTCTAGTGTCTTTTCCTAATTTCCTCTTCAGATGGAGGCTGGTTTGTTCTTTCCAACAGTAGGTTGTTGCTGATGGTATCCAGTCAACGTACACTCAGTATATGGAGTAAACAATTGTTTATAAATACTTGTACAGTTTGGTAGTTGAAGTTGTTCTCTATTTTCCTGCTCCATACAGTAGAACTGTCTTGATGTTCGTATTGAAGATTGTGATTGATGTTTGGCTTGCAGAAAGTTGTTTTGAGTTCCATGTGTTCTTCAACTGTAGGGACTGCCATTCCTTACCTTTACGTCTGTATCTGATACTCGTTGTTCATCGATGATGCTGTCCAGTTACGTGAAAGTTTCTACCTCTTCCAGAGTTTCTCTATCAAGTGTGATTAGCTTGGTGTTCTTCATGTTGTATTTGAGGATCTCGCTTTTTGCCTTGTGTATGTTGAGGTTGACTGATGAAGGGGCCACTGCTACACCGAATCAATAAGAAGGCACTTAATCACTGAGTTATTGTTCTATAACTGTAAACTATACTGTTTCTAAATACAAAGTGTGAAATTTTGATTCTGTATAACATGTTCTATTCTGTCAATGAATTAAAGGTTATATAAATATTAACACAGATACTGTAGTCTTAATCACGTACTTCAAACACTGACGTAGAATGTGAAATAGTAGATTTTGAGACCATATTCAATTCATCTGTATTACGTTTGTCCTTATTCAGTTTGTTATTTTCTTTGGTGAATTTAGATGATGAATTTAAAGAGTTCGAAAAATTAGGCTTATTCGCATTAGAACGACTTCTTGATCGATTGTATACTACTCTAGGATTTGATATATTGTTAGAAATTAGGTTCATCATTGTATTATGATCGTCATGGCTTGATTTTGGTTTATCTTCTGCTATTCGACTGTTTTTATGATTATATTTTGCATCTGGAAAAGATAAAAAACGGAAGAACATTTAAATCAACTGAATATTTGTGATTGGTAATTGAAATACTATTGTTAGCAGTTTTAAACAACATAGAGAGTAGCTCAAATGTGTTTGACCCAGGCTGTCATACAACAGTACAATAACATGAAAGTAATAATATATGTAGCAAAGGAATTTAAGTAGCTTAAAAATGGTGGTAGTGAAAAAGACTAAACATTGAGAATATGGTATGAAAACGGTTGAAGAAATGCAGGACCTCACGATCGAGAGGAAGATGAATAATGAGTAAATCTACCCCATCGTGGCACATTCTGAGCCATGTCACCCACAGTCTAAACGCGGACCTTGACCTGGTATTTTGTACTTGTCAACATAAATCAGGTCAACGGTTAGTGAATTAATGGACTTATGGTATATCTTGGTTTAGTCACCTTTAGTCTTTCACACTACTTCAACAAACCACCCGTCTAAATAGATCGTGGTCATGTACAAGTAATATATTTCCCAACTACTTCAGTCGATTTCAAATCTTCACCTAGTGCATTATTCCTAATGTCAAAAATTTTCAGCCAGTCATTTCACGATACATGAGCAGTACTTCAAAGACACCAAGGAAATTTTGTTGATTAATTTTCCATTTAAAACATAAAAGTAATGGTAAAGCGTATAACATCACATACCTATTTATTATTATTAGTACTTTTTATGCACTGTTTCTATGAAAATTAAAATGAATTGAATTATCAGAAAGGGGTTTTGTGGACATTAGAGTAGTTGAGTTCATGATTCAATCGAAGATAGACCACCATGGAATACCTGGAAGCACTGAATGGCCGTTTTGTTCTAATGTGGAACTCCTCAGCAATGTGCATCCGCGATCCCGCCTCGCGGGACGCTCGGTTTCGCGCGCGAACGCTTAGACTTCAGACCACTGAACCGGCTTCCAACGGTGTTAATGTCTGACTTCAACCAATCCACGACTTGATTGATAGGCACTTTCAAATAACACGAGAGCTTTTTGAAATCACTGAACTCTGAATTATAGTTTCATTGTCATTTGAAAACGATACTATCATATAATCTCATTCATTATATTTGTTGTTACTTTCAGACGAAAACTAGAACATTTTCTAATAATATATATAATATTATATTGTAAAAAATGTATACAAATATAGTCTTTGTTTATCATTAACTCTGTTAGTCATATATTCTGGTGTAGTAACATGTTTGAAGAGATTCTATCAATATCTGTAAGCATATACGTAACTTTTGTAAGCCATTATTTTAACATGCCTAAATATTCATAATAATGAGTAACATCAACCGCTTTCGATAACAAATATTTTACATTTCCTCAGGGAAAAAATAATCAATAGATGGATACTTTCTGACTATGATTAACTTTTAGTAGTTTCATAATTTCGAAGAGGTGAATCAACTAGATGTTTAAATGAACTTACGGTAACTTATGATGAAGTATCATCAACAGCTAAGTTAAATGATTGTACATAACAATACAACGGTTGATATCCATAATTTTCTGTTTGATAAAACCAATCAGTAAGAATGATAATTCATTGAAAATACCTCTTCATCATTGTGAATTGATTTGCTTTACCCATATATTTATAAAGCCTTTTGATGTAATCACATCATTTATTTTCCCCATAAATTTCATAATGTTAATAAATAACTACTCATGTATTGGCTTCACACACACACAAAATAAAATATTATCTGCAATTTATTGTAGTAACTGATATGTGTAGCTGAATTTATTGCTGTTGTTCACATTTTTTTAAACATATTTTCTTGACAAAGTTTATAAAGAGCTTAATAAGTCGATGAAGTACTAGCAATATCATTTTAAGCATTATTCTCTATTCATGGTTATTCAATAGACCATTTTAGTTTATATTTAAGCTTTTATTGCATCATATTTAACTGAATATAAGCTCAAGTAAAATTTTGCGCAATCAATTCATAGTTATGTCCAGTCAGTCGGTCAGCTACGACGTAGGACCAGGTACATGTGTACATCGATCCAAGTTGCCGTAAATCATCAGCACAGCAAGATGAATACCGGATTCATAGAAGCGATTAATTCAGTGGTGGTAATATATAAAAGAAAGCATATAAGGATATACTACAGGAAGAAGGAATTAGTTCGTAGAAAGTAAGATATGAAGCGATTTTATTCTCATAGTTTAAAGGGAGACAGAGGGTGTATGCACCGACGCCATTGTGATCGATTCTGAGCCATGTCACCAAGAGCCTCCACCCACTGGTTACGATAGTCACGCGGACCCCAACCGAGTAGTCTGCATCTACCGACATGGTTCAGACCAGAAGTTACTGACTTCAAGAACTGAGGCCAAGTTTTGGTTTGGTCGTCCCTAACTTTCTTCCAACCATCCACTACACTAGTCAGCATTGCGCCATAGTTATGTTACATCAGTTCAAATTTATAAATTATTTCCCATCATGTAGTTTTATAGTTTCATTAATGATTTTACATTGTTCCAATAATGAATAAAATGAACTATTTAAATATGCTGACAATTATAAAATGAAAATAATTATACATTTTCATTGTTATTAATCCAACAAAATAATATCTTACTTGCTTGATTCAATGCATCATTTTTATTTAATTTTTCCAGTCTCTCTTTATTCATTTGTTCAAATTCTTCTATTTCCTAAATTGGAATAAATCAGAATTATATAATTTAGAAGTTTATTTATTATTATAAGTGGTTCAAAGTTTTCCATGGTGGTTTAGTTTCAATCGACTCATGAATTTAACTAACAAATTAGTATTACTTAGTTTATTTCAATTTTAGAATGAGCAGTTAATTGATTTAGTTGAAAATAACTACTCAGATCATAATTAAGACGATTAATTTAATTTAAAGATGTATTGTTTGTAGAAATATTGCAAACCAGAATAATATGGACATTTGTACAATTCTAGCTTAGTATTCTATACCAGTTTATAATAATGATTAGGTGTTTAATGCTAATTAGTTTCAAGCTAGAACGACACATTTGCTTAAAGCATTGGAATCAATAATTAGTAATGTTGTGGTTGGAGGTAGTCAACAGGAAACCCTGGACCTAGGTTTCATGCTACTTGGCACTCGTCAGCAAGGTGCACCTGTATTATTCTTGACGGAAACGATGTTCCCTGACGGATTCGATCCCGTGTTACCCAGTGATCGATGTCATGTGTGCCAGGCCTGTCTTACTGTAGATCGAATTCTATCCTTCCTGACGAGCGCCATGTAGCACGAGGCCTAGGTCCAAGGTTTCCTGTTGACTACCTCCAACCACTATATTGTATCAACATAGTGCACTTAATGTCGAGTCACCTAGGCTGGTGGCCACATTGCAACTTGGTTGATAGGATTCGATCTGCACTAAGAAGGACCTGACATACATAACATTGATCACCACACAGTGCTCAATCAATTATAAATTAATAATGTGTTATTTAATGACTTAAATAAACATAAATTCAACCGAGTTCAAGGCCTTTTGACTAAAAACATTCAAGGTCAAATTTAGTTTACAAAATAAATAAATACATTTACCAAATATATCAAATTACATAATCTATTTTTAATCACATTTGGTTAGGCTATTAGCTTTATTGAAAGGGTGATTAACATAAATCGGTCGATATTCTAAACAAGAAAATATAGCATTAGTCATCATGCAGTAAAAATATAATATCCCTTAATTCTCCAATTCAAATAACTTTTCTCTCGTTTAAAAACAATTAGGTTTTCATTTTCTGATGTCAAGTGTAATGTTGACCCATTTGTGTTTGAGATAAAGTATATGCGAAAATTTCTGTCAACATATTTTTTGTCCAGAGGCTTATCTATATTTAGTCATTGAAGAATTTGTAAAATAGTGACGTACTTGCTCTGTGGATTTCATTTTCTCAAATAATAAACTGAATGTTTGTAGGCATTCTGTAATTCTAAATTGTGTTGGACATTCACAGAAATATTGCGCACACTTCATTTCTAGTTCTTGAAGTTTTTCCACTTGTGTTTGTACATCATTTAGTTCTTTATTTGATTGCTGCAGAAGAATATATATGATGATATTTTTTAGAATTATATTATACTACTCAATCAACATGCAAGTAGCCAACATTTAGTTTAAATAAAACAAGAAAAATAAGATCTATAGATCTCGTTTTTCACATTTTATTTAAAATTGATTTACATTTATCAAGGAATCAGGATGTATTCAATCAAAATTTAACGTGAACACGGACTTTAAAATGAAATTTTAAGACTAAATAATTTAAACTTCATTAAGAACCTGTAATCCGTATAATGGTTTTCACTGCAAACCAATCTAAAGTCTGTTTAGAGTTTAGATGAAAGACAAAAGTTTATATCACTAACAAACTGAAGCAGTAATATCTGCTAGTGGTCAGTAACACTTTGCTCATAGAGAATAATGAATTATGTTCGACCTACCCAGAACTTGTTTACCATTTGTCCTGATATGATAAGTCGCTCATGAGCGTGAATATTCAGAAGCGTCTATTAATCATTGTTAGAAAATTTCTCCACACATTCTTCTCATGGTTTAGTTCTCCGTACCATTTGTTTTACGTGGATGATTGTTACTAGCAACAAATCTGAATCTCAGCTGTACATCTTAGCACATAACATGACTTTTTTCATGAACTCACTTTTAATCAGTAGTTATTATATAATATACTCATTAATATCTCGAAGCTAAAACCGTTGGATGATCATTTCGATAACATGGCTGAGTCCATGCCGCTAAGCAAACTTAATTTTCTTATTGATCATCTCTGCGTTTTTTGTCTTTAAATCGCAATAATGTGAACTAATTAGATAATGAATTGTCTAACAATTAGCTAGCTATTGATTTTGTGCTGATATTATAATTCTAGTCGCTACTATAAAGCGAGAAATTTTTAATTTTTCTATTGACTCTAATGAATGAAAAGATATTTGCGACTTACCTCGATAAATTCACAAATTTTTGATTGCCCTCCAAATGTTTCTGGATCAAATTGTTGAGTCATATTTTGCAATCTACTTCTGAACCGATTAATTTCTTTTATAATTAAGTCGAGTGATACACTGAAAATATTGGTTTAATAAAAATAAATAAAAATTGTGATATATTATGGGAAAAAATAAAACACATTAATTATTGGATAATGTAGAGTTGCAGATGATAATAAAATTCAAAACATGTGTTTTGTGCTATTTGAAATGAAGATTTTAGTATATTTGTGTTTTACCTTACAAATGAAGAACACATAGAACTCAAAACAACTCTCAACAAATATCAAAGTCACAATCTTCAATACGAATATCAAAACAGTCCTACTGCACGGAGCTGAAACGTGGGGAACTACCACAACCATCGTCAAAAAGGTATAAGTATTTAAAAATAGCTGTCTACGAAAGATAATTAATGTCCGTCAGCCGGATACAATCAGCAACAACCTACTATGGGAGAGGATAAAACAGCTTCCAACTGAAGGGAAAATTATGAAAGGAAGTCGGAAGTGGATAGGATATACATTGGGAAAATCACCAAACTACATCATGAGGTAAGCGCTAACTTGGAATCTTGAAGAGAAGCGGAAAAGAGGAAGGCCGAAAACACACTACGTTTGGAAATGGAAGGAGATATGAAAAGTGTGAATAGCAACTGGAAAGAACTGGAAAGGATTATCTAGGACAACGCTGAATGGAGAGTACTGGTGGGCGGCCTATGCTCCTCCATGAAGGGTAACAGGTGTAAGTAAGTAAATGTTTTTCCTGTTTAATTTTTTGTCCAAAATAGAAATGATCTGTTTTTGTTGTAATGTACATTTTCAATCAGTTAGCTATTCACTCATTATTTTTAAAATTAAAAGTTGATTAGGTCCCCTTAAAAATATGAGCATTGTTTCGGAGCTCCATACTGAGATGAAACAGCTGTCCAGTGTTCCTTGGTCTGAAGTAAAACTTTAAATGAGATCAATCTGTGACAAACATAATGTACATCTAGGTGACTATTTGATCATACCACTTATTCTTTCTATTTGCAATCTCTATTTTAAAGTAGTAAAGATTTATAATAGTCTTTCAGTTATTTTTTTAATTTATACGACTTTTTTTATGAAACATGCACTAGACAAATATAATATTGTTCATTATTTTCTTTGGATCCTTTAAGCTTATAAACAAGGGACTCGAAATATTAACAAAATATATTTTAGAAATAACATCTGCATAACTTACTCTGATGATACCTTTAAATATGGTATTGTTTCGGTAATTCTTAACATTTGTGGATTACTTGTTTTAAACTCCTTTTAATTAAGTAGAAATAAAAAAAAGATAAAATTTGTAATAGGAAGTTACAAATTTCAGTAAAACTGCTATTAGGTAATTAACTTAATTTGTATTTTATACAATATTCCTTTTGAATATCATTTGCCTGTTTTCTAAATGTAAAGTCTGTTCATTTTTCAAAGTATAGTTAGGTTGGTTGATTTTAGGGATATTCTAACATCATTTGAAATTCATTTACATCACTGACTAACGTTAGTTGAAGAACCGTTGAAAAACTATAGGGAATTGGTCTCATTGATTTATTCTAGTTCAGGAATCCTTGTATATGAACTAACAGGATTTAGAAACAGGGACCTTTAACTCTAAGGGAAAGTAGTATAGGATTCAGCTTTGAGTTGGAATCTATTGATCACGTTTTCAGCTTATCTATAAGATTGGAATAAACTTGATCAGAACCAGTGAAAAGTGATGAAAGTGCATTTCTGGGAATTTAGAATGGTTGATGAAAACAATCTAGTTCTCTAAGGTTTTCAATGGTTTTACAGCTGATGTCAGTAAAGAGTGAGAACTATATTTTTGTGAATGGTTAATTTTCACTGTCTCATTTTTTAATTTAATGTGCATATGTAAACAAATGATTAAAATACTCTCTATCCTTATTCACATTGTTGACGACATTTCATGTGAACTCTGTATCTCCGAATTTTTTGAATTTTTCAAAGCTTCCAATTTATTAAATTACTCAAATTTTCAACCAGGGTTATTAGGGAATATTTCAGTTAACAGAAAGATGAAGATATGCTAAAGATACTTGATATAACATACAGTTGAATAATCATTTATTAAAATTAACTGTCAGATAATCGTGTACATTAGGTATATCATGTCAATAAATCAATTACTTAAACAGCACTGATCAACATTGAACGTATGAGTATTTTATTAGTTGCTACTGGGATAGTGAATAGCATACAGAAATATATATATATATATATATATATATATATATATATATATATATATATATAATCTGAAAATCTATAACATAAGATCAAAAAAAGAGCTCTCATCAATGTCTTGTAAGTTGGTTTAGTAAAAATGTATTTAATTCTAAAAAATTTCATATATCAATCCAACTCTTACTAGTATCAATTGAGGACTGTAAATATGGTATTAAAATGTTTGATTTTACCCATACAATAACGGAACAAAATGTAAGCAAGAACAGATATTATGGAATAAGATGTAATTTATAAATTAGTAATATCTAAACCTTAGGCGATTCACCAAATTAACACTAGTATCCAATAAAGAGTCATTGTGGTGTTTGAATGAACTAATAATTTCTTTGTAATTGTTGAATGTTTGATTTCGAATTTCAAATACATTACGTTCGTTCGTGCCTATCTAGTACTTCTTGCGCTATTTCTGGGATTCTTAGTTCGTACTATTATTCAAATACTCCTAATTATCACAGTCATTCATTGAAATGCTTGTGGATAAATTTGTAATTTTAGATTTTACTAATTTGAAGAGTTTATTAAGCATCTTTTATCCAATCTATTAACTGGTTGTTGATTAGTTTATTTTAACTCATTATTTATATGAGTAACAGTCAAATTATTAGGTTTGAAAGAATGATATATTTCGCTATTAAATAAGAATTCTTAAATTCATTTAAATGGATTACCTGAACAAGGAAATGTAATAGAGTGAATTTTGAATCATTTGATCGAACTTCAGAAAGTTTTAGCAAACTGGAAAGTTTGAAGCCAGATGCTGATCCGAGATTGTTACCCTTTGAGAATAAAATTAAAATAATATACATAAAAATTTCTTAAGTATAATAATAGTCGAAATTTAAAACTATTCCTTAAGTTCATTTATCTTATTTCTTACTTCCAGGTACTTGAGGTTAACCATATGTTAATAGTAACTTTATAATGATTTAGTGTCATTTAATAGCATTATGGTAATTCTGTGTATGCATTCGTTGGTGTTAATGAATATGAAAAATGTGATATTTGAAATACAGAAGAGTAGGGTGTATATATATATATATATAGATATATATATATATATATATATATATATTTATATATAAAGAATCAACATTGAATTAACATGTAAAACATTATAGCATACGTCTTAATATACTTAAATGTGTAAATGTTTTAAAGAGTTTTGAGTATTTTGATCAGAAATTACTAGTTTATTCTTTGTCTTAACTATGGTGATCTGTATTATAAACATAGTGAAAGATTCTAGCACTTTGAAGAATATAATCTTAGCCGAAGCTAACATTGAGCTTCTGTGATAGGTACTAATAAAGTTGAATGAACTGAAAATGTTAAGTGAGCATAAGTAAGAAATTACCAGTGCATTTAATAATTTTTGTCATGCAGTTAGTAACATTCTTTTAATTTGAGGTTTTTATTTTCCTAGAAATACACAGTTACATTCAAATAACAAATAAGTGATTAGTGATATTTGATTCTGTAGTTAGCTAGTTATTTGAATGTTTCACTGCTCTATCTTTGATAAAACTTATAGGCTTTTTTGTACAGCAACCAGACTTGTTAGTAGACTTATTAGATTTGCAATTATCGTCACAAAATTTCAGTAGAACCAAATAAATGAGAAAAAACAAAGAATCAAGCAATGAAATATTCTTACCTCATTCATATAATTCCCGATTTCTAAGACAGTCTGAAGTAATTCACAAATTAATGGAGATGTTAGTATTTCTGAAAAAAGTATAAGTGGAAATCAATATACAATTTAACATTGGATTTTTCGTTTGTATATTGTTCACAAATTGCTTATTGTTTGTTGACATCGTTTTATATTTGATTGAATTTTGAACTAATCAACTGTTATCGAATCCTTACTTATGATGAGGAAGCAAACAGTTAGTGTTGGGAGTTTTAATCGCCAACATAGCGATGTTGTTACATACCAAGCGTCTAATATAATCGAAGTCGGTATTTTACGAAAGACTTTTGTGGTGATGAGCCTAATCTGTAGATCGTATTCTTTATGGACTAGCCTTAGCTGAAGTACCATTGGAAACTGAAGAAAAGTGAACGGCTATTTCATCCCGTTGGGGAAATTCTCAGCAGTGTGCACTTAAAATCTTGCTAGAAATCAAACTCAGGATCTTCAGGCCTCCGTAAGTACAGTTAAACTTTGGACCGGTAGGTTGATTTTCGTGTGTACATTACTTAAAAGTCCCATATTATGACGGTACGACTGCACAGTGCTCACTGGTCTTCAGTAGTGATCTAACCGATCTCAAAAATTTATGATAATATAAAGTTATCCTTTAAGTTTGATATTACGCCCAAAATCTGCTAAGGTAAATCTATATTAGTACGTTATACGCCCATATACTTTTAAGGTAGCTACAAATGTGTGGTAAACTTAATTTTTGCTAATAGAAACTTATAACTACTTTTAATTTACAATGATAATTGTGACCTGATTTGAGCGGCTATAACATTTCATTTGTCCTGAATTTTATTATTTCTTAAAGTACCTTGTAGTTCTTATCTATTTATTAAAAAAATGTACCAAACTAGTGAACGTCATTTGTGATTCAATGAAATTACAGGACATAGTGGTATTGTGGTGTATGCTACTTATGTTTTCTAACTTAAGTAGTATGTAACACCAGTCAGACGTGGAATGCTTGTCGGCAGAACGTTAAGAAGATCGAATTTAGGAAAACAAAAAGGGAAATAGAAAGGAATTTCGAATTGTAAGAATCATACAGGATGTAAAGATTAATTGATGGAAGATGTCCAAATGAAATATTTAATGTATGGTTCTCATATTTCACAAACATAATCTGTAGTTTTTATATTAAGCAATAAATTGGTCTTCTCGTCTACAACAGAAGTATGATTATTTGTTCAAAAAGACAAATTCCATGCATCAGATAAGATGTCATAGACGTTTGCTTCCTCAGATTACCCTGTAAGAGATTTCTGCATTTCACAAGTATTATGTAAGACAAAGCGAAACAACACAATCCTCAACAGTAGATATTGACAACACAAGCTGGTATTTAGTTCAGAATAGGTCATTCTCACTTATTGTTTATCATTTTTATTGGTCATGATCATGTAGACAAACTGAGATATAGTTGTACATAATCTTAAATATAAATCGATTATTAAAGGTTAAAATGTCTATGAAAGTAAACGTGTCATGAATGAATTTAACATTACCTTGACTGGTTTTCATTACATTATCTAGTGATGATTTTATCCAGTTGATCGTTGGTTGAAATTCTTCTTTCAGTAACATACTATCAATTTTGTGATAATATCTATTTTATGAAAAAGAAAATTCATACAAATGAACAGAGATAAAGCGAAGCTAACAAGTTGAAATAAACAAACTCTTAGCTGGTAATATTTAAAGTAATTCTAAAAGTATTGGTTTTCGCATTTAAATTTTAATGTTGATTTAGATGAAGTCCTGAATCTGAGTATTTTGACTGCTGACACTTATCAGTAAGAGATATTTCTTTCTTTCAGGTGCAGTGTTCTAGCCATTTGGGGTTATTCAAGCGCCACTCGGTAGAGCCGATAGGTTTATTTTGATTAGAATCCACTTTTTGAGGCTTACGAGCCTGAAGAGTTAATGTGATTTCGTGGAGAAATCGTTATAAGCTCCGGCTCTTGGTGTGCCGGCGTCTCACAAGAGGCAACTATAGTCTACAGGCATACCGGTGACACACATCTTTTCACTTATACATTCCAAAGAATACATATAGGTATATTCACCCACCTGGGAAGGTAGATGGTTACAGTAGCTTTAGAACGTACTAGCTACAAATGACTTCCTCTTACGCATTACACACATATCAGTGGTACAATAACTTTCACTCATGCACATCATGACGTACACATAAGCATGTTTATAATCTCAGGAAGGGTGGCTAGTCATCTCTTTCTAATATTTGCTACCATATTTATTATTATTTTTGACCTGATAGTTTAGACAGCTGGAGTCTCATCAATTTATTATTTGAAATTTAGTGTCGTTACTTAATAAACTCTGCGTTAACTAAATAAAAATGTGACTTGATAGGATAATGTAATGTTCAGACACCAGAGATTTACACCTCATGTGTAATGACTAGTGATACAAATAACATCTGAAAATCGTATGTTAAGTGAGGTTCGAGCCTATGAATAAATAGATTAAATCTCAAAATCGTTCACTTAGTAGATATTTGATCCTAAGTGGATATCCAAAATTTTGACGAGAATTGTTTATTGACAAGACAGATATCATTGGATGTATTGAGTGGCGGCTTTAAGTACTTCTATTTAAAGTGGGCGCTAGCAATGTTGTTCAGAACGATAATAAAAGCTTCGGTCTTAAACTATCCAGCTTAGAGAACACAACACTGAGATGGTGGAGAAAATTTGTAGCTCAGGTGGATGATTTTAATGGATTTTGTTCTCTGAGCTTCCATCTGAAGTTTGTGCTGATGATGTCGTTCAGAAGAACGATGAAAGCTCCACGACCAGACCATCCAGCTCAAAGAACAAAACTCCATCAAAAACACAACACTTTCAAACATATGCACCTAAGAAACAGATCTTTCGAATCAGTTTGTATCAACCATGAGACTTTAACATAATACATTAAAGAAAGTGTGTTTGCGGTGGAAACTATAGATTTCAAGCCCGATATTGTTGAGTTATTGGCAATGGGCTTCTAAGTAGTTATATATTACAACAAAATTATTACTCAGTTTTATCTAGTTTTTAAATTGTTATTTAACTAATGAGCCATCTTAACAAAATCGTAGTGTACATAAAACTGAATACTTAAATCAAGAAACTTCAATTATAAAAATTATTTATCTGTCATAAGCATAACACAAAAAATGATCAACTTAGTAAACCAGATTTCTTATTAATTTATTTTCTTAAAACCAAAAAAGGCAGCTGATTTTCAGTAAGATAAACGTAAGTAGTTTTAGTGTAATGTTGATAACGAAGAAAGTAAAATGAAGTAACGATATATAGAAATGCAGATTATATTCTATTATCAATAATCTAACAAAAACATAACTTACTTTGGTATTCTAACTAAATCATAAAAAAATCGTTCAGCAGGATCCATATAATTTATATTACCTTGAAATGCTTTTAAGCACTCTATTTCTTGATCTGTTGGAAGTAATTTAATCAAATCTTTTAACCGTTCTGAACCAATTAAACTACCATCACACTGATCAATCAGATCGAGTAAGTTTATATGAATATGTCGAAACTGACGTAGAAAAATGTTTATATTCAAACACCGTTGACTTTCCAATAAGTTGGGCTTAAATTAGAAACATAAGATTAAATAAGTACGTGATACATGGAAAAAAACTTTTGCTACTGGCTGAAAATTGCAGTAAATATATTTAGATAAATGTGAGAGCTATTCTCAGATATTCTATTCAAGGATTTACTGTTATTAATTCAGTTCTAGGGGATATGATGGATCTGATTTTATGGGATTAAATAACGAATTATATCGGATCATTCGTTTGTAACTGTCTTACAATAAAATACACTGCATATTTGTTGGATGCAGCAGTAATTCATCCTAGTTTCAATATTTTTTTATAATGCAAACAGTATAAAACAGCATGTGAGCCACTGAAAGTGGCTGATGAATGTGTGTCGAATTCTATTCTGAATATCATCGTCACAAATGTAATAATGTGAAGATTTGTAACTCACATGATCTATTTTTTGGTGTTCCATTCTCTTGTACCTGAACCAGGTTGTGACGATGTTGTCTAGAATAGCAGCTTCGGAACTAAACCACCGGGCTTAAGGAATATAACACTTTGTAATGGATCACTAGTGAACTTACTCTATCCTTATCGTTATTAATTAGAATATCAAGACTGACTACTTAGAAAAACTAGTTTCTACTTTTACTGCATAACGATTTATACTTATGAATGAAGACAATTAGGATTCTATTCTAACACCATTGTCTTTTATCGATCGCATAATCCTCAAACAATATGAAGACCTTTGTCGTCTGAGTGGGTGCAGAATAATTTCATGTTACAGATTCACCTAGAAACCGGTTAAGAGTTTATCATCCATTGGACGTTAACGTTGTATGAGATTTATATTTACGTCATTTATTGTGAATACTTCGGAAAAGTTTATATTAACTAGTAATTTTTTCAGTGAAGGTAGATCAGGTGAATCTGTAACAACGTCTTTAAGCAATTCAATATAAAAATAAAATGTTTGTAAGAATAGTACTTTTTATAAGCCGTCCATGGGTTCTTCAATCTCTTGGGTTTGAACTATTATCACATTAAATATTATCTTACGTGGCTCAATAAATCATACCTAACTACTTAAGGTTTGTATAGATTTATAAAGACGTTTTAAGTGGAATCAAAATGGTTGATATATATATGAACATAATGACGGTTACCTCATTATGTTTTTGAATAAACTCCATAGTACGCGAAGATGAAAGTGATCTCCCACGTATGGGATAAGAATTTATAGCACAATGTAGTTTAGGATCCAAAGTCGGAGGTACTTTTAAATTGCTTTCTTGTATGTTTTTTTCACCTGAGTATTTCTGATGAAAAGAGTCATAATTAATTCCTCTTTCAACTATTTGTTTATCAGTTGACATTGGTAGGCTAAACGACTCTGTGTTCGGTGATATTTCCATTTCATGATTTTTCATAGAAAGTTTCTGCTTTTGAGCAAATAGGACATTTAATTTGCTCAGATTAATAAAGTTTATTGGTTTTCTTCTTACAATCTCATTATGATCAGATGTTTTCGAGCATGTACCATTATTATTATTCCATACATTATTATTTTTAGAAGTATAAACTTTAGTCCAACGAAATGGTTTTAACTTATGAGTATTAGATTCGCTTACATTTGTAGTACTGGATGCTATTTGGTTTTTTATTTCTTGATGATGGGATTTTTCATCTTCATTTGAAGTATTACCTAATACTGATGTAAATGATATCGTTGATGAAGAAAAAAAATTTTCTGGGAGTGGAGGTGGAGGAGGAAGGGAATTTAATGGCGGTGGAGCTGGTATAGAGTTTATTGGTAACTGTGGATACAATTCAGAACAACTATTATTAGACATAGATGAATATGTTAATTCATTATTTATGGATGAACTATTCTTTTCTAAACTTTCAAATATATTCTTGTTTGAAGATTTTAAATTCGATAATTCCAAAGTTATCTTAGAATTGATTTGTGCATCTTTAGTTTCTGTATTTAATTCTTCAGATAGACAGAAATTTCGGTTGAAAATATTTGTTAAATCTTCACTTTCTATATGTTTATCTAGTTGGTCGTTATCAGAACAAATCGATTCGAAATCACTAGATGATGTACTTTTAACCATATTATTATTATTATTATTATTATTATTATTATTATTAGGGTTTGCATTCATAACTATAGCTTGATCAGTTTTCAATATTGGTAAACTAGATCTAAAGCATTGAGAGAAAGATTTATATGTACATGAAATACTCCATGGATAATTATTATAATTCATAAAATTTGTTAAATCTAATAAACTTTTACTTTTATATTTTTGTACAATATTCAATGTTTTAAAATTATTTTGATGAATTGTTTTGACTGAACATATTAATAAATGACAATTTTCAATAAATTTTTTCCATATTATAATGATATAATATGTATTATACATGTAGGTTGTATGTATATGTTTATGTTTATTATCAATAGAATTATTCTTAAATAATAATAATGATTTAAATAAATGTTGTAGAATTAATAAAAAATAATATTCAAGTAAGCTGTTTTGTTTTAACTAAAAGGAAATAACAACAACAACAAAAATAAATAAATAATCAATAAATAAGTGGATGAAAAAATACATGTTCTGATCATTTTTCTTAAATAAAAATAAACAAACAAATAGAATTTCTATTTTTTTGAAGACGTTTGGGAATTTCTAGTGAACTTCATGATTTTATTCTTTGTGCTGTTTTCCGAGGTAAACTCTATAACTTTCAAATTTAAAGATGAATACATTTTTAGTAAGTAGTTAAAATTCATTACAAACTTGTTGTCATAAACATTTATGTTTGGGACGTTAGATCTCCAGAACCCACTTGGAAAAGGACCTAATTTTGCAATTTTATTTAGAAAATTTGAATTTCTTTGTTTTCGCGCCAAAAGCGATCTTCTCACCCTCGTGTTGGATTTCCCACTTGGGAGAATCTTAAATGTTATTTGTCCTTTGTGTGTTTTAGTATGCTATTTTGTAATTCTTCCCAAGGATGGTTTTGTGCTGTATGTATACGTTTTGAATTGTTTCTGTTGTTATCGCTCGTTTTCTGGCTTTTGCGGAATATACTTCCACGTTCGCACTTCGACTTCTCTCTCTAGTTAGCGGACCTGGAACGCAATAGAATCGCTAGTTTATTGGTCTTTGATCACAAGTCTTTGTTCCTTTCTCAGTTTAAATGAACTCGTAACCGCTTCAAACCTAGCAATTTATTAGTTGTCAATATTAATATGATCATCTGTGATACTACTGATAAGTTATAGAGATTAAAGTAGCACCCATAGTATTCTGCAGTATTAGCAAACATTTTATATAAGGCTAAGCTTCGTTGGAATTTGTGGTAATTGTCTGAAGTAAAATGTGTTGTATGATGATGAAAGTTTTTGCCACGGACATTACATTTAGGCATTAACATTGATATGACTTTAAAGATCATTCTTGTATTATGACCTAGAATAGAAGTTAACTCTTAATTTTCTTTACTAATAATATCAGCGTTTTGGACAGAGAAACGGGTGTTTATTTAAGACTAAATGAATGTTACACTTGGATTTTCTTCTATTCAGTATCTAGGCATGTTAGGACTTGTGGTGTTGTGCTTTATTGATATATATCGTGATGATATCGACAATTAGAGAACTGTGACTTGTCGATTGGACCAATGAGGTATAAAACCCGTACGAGTAGTCTAGAGTCTTTACCAGTCCTGCCTAGCTCTGTCTGTTAAGTCCAGAACGTACTGGGTTTATATACAAACCAAACAGACCACATCGTGCCACAAGATAGAAAACAACATTTGTACAAGATCTAGCCAAAAGTGACCGTGGATTTGGAAGACTGTAATAAATAGACGGGGCATAACTCAAGAACGATAAATAGTCTATGGGTCAAAATAAAGCTTATAATAAGAAGGACATGAATATGTTTAGTTTAGCTACTTAAAAATTATACAATAAAAATGTATGTATCGTATTGGTCCATAAATAGTTCTCGAAAGTTACCATTCATAATTCTCATCAGGATATAACAAGGCAGATGAAATTTTAGGCATGCCATACGTTTCTATTGGTCATTGTTACTATTATCAATATTTGCGGTAATGGGTTTCTGGAAGTTTGGCGTCTAAATCACTAGGGCAGAAATAACTATCTAATAATTCTTTGTTTTCAATGATTAACTAGCTCAATTTATTTGGTGATTCAGATTATCTTCAAATTAACCACTCTTCACAAACCTTTCATTTAGACTTGTTTTTATATTATCATAATAATATGACTTATTTTATCTATCTTTTATGAATATATATTATGACATAATAAACTCGTATCCCACGAAATAGGCTATTTCAAGTTCGTAGTATCGAAATGTCACAATTCACGTAGTCTATGTGTGTCATACTTCGCAGCCAGTCTACTGCATCGGCTCTGAGTATAATCATATTCGGTAAGTATTTTATCAGATAGTTTTTGATAAGAATATGATGAAAGTAATTAATAAGTTGCAATGAAATTCATAATTTTTAATCAAATAAATGGGTGTTTCCCAAAATATTTTTAATTAACTAGGGGGTTAGGAATAACGACCTTCATAGCTTTGAAATTTATTGCAGATCAAAGGTAACGGAACCACTCAAGGGCATAAATGTAATGAAACATTTCAAAATTTCGAGGATATTATACAACTGATGATTTTATTTTATTGATTTATCGTTCAAGAAGCCTTTACAACTAACTACTATATATATAAGCGGCTAACTCAGCTGCTAGTTGAGAGGTGTATTGAACTTACAGTTAACTATAGTAGAATAATTAATGAATTTAATGATGTAAATTTCTTGGTTCAAAAGACCTATCATTCGAAGTCACAAGTGCGACAGTTATAATGCATATCTTCTTTGAAAACTAACATTCTGGAGAAAAAATAATCAGTGAAGTGCTGAGAAAGTGAAATATTATGAAATATGTCTCATTAGAAAATTATATCGACTGAAGAACCGATGAAAATTAAGTAGTGGTATGACAATTTATGATAACGTATTTAAAAGACAACTTCGAAATAAACAGACTAATACAAACCATCTAACCAAGTAACAAACGTATTCTTGCTAGTGGTTAGCTAATTGATGAATTTGCTCAAAGTTCTAATTAGAACGCATTACTTACGGAAATCATGAAGTACGCAATAAACAGTTACTTACCAACGACATTGGGAAATAGTTGCGCTAAATACAGAATAGACGAGTTGAAAATTCTAGTACATTAAAATCTACTCATTGAATAAATGATCTAGCATTGTCAACTTTTATATTATATGAGAAACCACTAGCTTTTTATTTCCTAGAACTAGTCTTGTTGTATACTTTTATTTATAACAGCTTTGAGACCCTGCAATAATTAATTAGATAACCAACATAAAACTTGTTGAGAACTGTTACATATGTGGTGTATGGTACTTATGTTGACATATATAAGTAGTATGTAGCGCTAATCGGAAGTAGAATACTTGCGAGCAGAAGATTGAGATTAAAAATGAAGAGAAGAGAAAAGAAAGCTGAAAGCAATCAAATTAAAAACAGGAATGAAGCAACGATGAAGTTTGTCAGAGACAACTCAAACATGTGCAAATGATGATTTTCACAATTTATAAAGCCACTATGTGATTTTATTTTATACAATAAATTGCTTATTCCTACCAAATCTTCATTCACTACACATATACTAAGTGAAAAATATCTTTTTGAAAGCTTTACTTGGCAAATAACGTTATTATCTTCATTTTAGTTATTTACTACTAGTATTTCTTGTCATAACCGACCTTTTCTTCTTCTAAAATCAGTCCCTTAATGTTCCTTATCTTGATGAATATTTTATTTAAATCACTTCAAATAAAATATTTTTCCAACAATTGCAAGTCTTACAAATCTTGACAAACATGATCAGAATTCTAATTAGAAGTGTATACAATCAAATGTTATTTGTATGGGACTAATGCTAAATGAGTACGTGATCAAGTTATTATGGTTCAAATCCTTCATCAAATAATTCAAAATGTTTTCATTTACTACACTATAAGTAAATGATTATTCGTAGATACGGAAACTAAAAATTACTATTCGAGCTGACTTTTCTATTGTTAGTACATTTCTATTCTGTATAAAGTTTAAGACATACATATTTAGTCTTTTGATTCTATTTATCCATATTTTTTTTTCATAGAATAAATGCTACCAATGAATTACAGAGTTTTGTCTGCCGATCTTCGGGACTAACTAAATATTTCAAATCCGCCTTCCCATAATATCAATGTAAAAAGAGAAAGTTTCAAAAATAAACAGAGTCTGTCATATATTTATTTTCTATCTTCTAAGCTATTTACAAATCGGTATTAGAAAAAAAATAGTGTAAACAAACAACAGACACAGTAAGGTAAACAAAAACAAGTACAGAATGGAACAATACATAAATCCAGTGCATTTTCTGAATTATTTTCGATAACCAAACTTTAAATCAAGTTCAATTAATTTGATATTAAATTTTTCAGCCTAGCATTTACGCTGCGAATTGATAAATCCAATTCTATTAGTACTAAATAAGATTTATTCATGTTTTGTTCTATTTGTTTCCTGCTTTTATTAATTTTTGTTCTACTATTATGATTTAATTGTTAGACTCATACGACACAATGACATAGATACTACACAAACATGCCTAGCTACGTAAACATACATCTTTTAAAATAATAAAACTAAACTGTCGCAATTTTTCTGCCTATCTGATCCTTAAACTGATTAAATGTGAACCCCAATAGTTATCAGAAAATTATCATCACTAATGAGTAATGAAGAAATTCCATAATTTTCTTGATTAATTTTAAATCTGAAAAATTAACTATCAGATTCATGTTATTTTCTAATAAACACGGATTTAACAACTTAACAAGTAAGACTTATAATTATGAGGATTCTGAAAATACACTACATCGTTTGATTATCTCAGAATCTTTAAGTTCCTATTAATTCATAAAAGCCGTACTAAGCATCATTGTAGATAACCAGAATACTATATAAACCGATGCAATTATATAACCAAAGAAAACTCCTCTGTTAAATACACTTAGTTAATTGAATATAATAAGGTTATTAACAAAATAATATTCTGTTCTAAAACCACTCAGTGATCTAGTGAAATGTTTAAGAGTTTATATAACAAAACCGAAATCAACTAACGTTTGTTTCCATCTCCTTGACGAACACCGAATAGGATGATAAATATGAGCTAACTGTTACTATGAGAGAATAACAACTACGTCCTCTAAGTTTACATAAATTATAAATGCAAATAAAAGATTCATGATTAATTGTTTTTTAAGAAAAAACTATTGCACGAGAAGACAAAACCCTTCGAAAAAATGGGATGACTTTCTTAAAATTGCAAATTATTATTATTAGAAGTTTATTAAGCTTTTTTAAAGGTAGCTTCGTTTTTCCAGTCAATGTGAAGCTTACCATATACAATTGTTGTATACCAATCTGTTAATATTCTGTGAAGTACAATCTTATTTTGAGTTGTTGTGTATAAAATTAGATCTAAATATAAACTATTATAGGAATTTTCTCAATGTTTGAAAAAACTTTAACTGGTTAATTCTAAACTCTTACATTAATTTATTTCTCAGAATTTGAACATAAAAGTTGGTTTTCTCCAATTGGCACATTTTACACAGTGATCCTAAGATCATATGTTGAGCAAAATAGACTGTAATGCTAATGTTAGTTCCTTTATAAACACTTTTCATCGTTATGATATTCTACTAAAATAACAGTTGAATTTCTGAAAATAATTAAAGTTTGATAGTACTGTATGAAAGTTTCAGTCAAAAAATAATTATTAAGTACAAAATATCTTTTGAGTTTAACTCCGCCTGGAGCCCCTCTGGGGCTGCTGCCGGCCACAAGCCCGGATAAAGGAGGAGGATTGGGTATGGAGTTAGTGAACCCATCCCGTAGAAAACTAACTCGCTAAAAAACACTTACCAGAAATCGTTTGATCTTGATAAAATTACAGATCAATTTACAATCCAAAAAATGAAACAAATTTATTAATCTGATAGTCAAGATAATATAATATTAATTCTCTATTTTCAAACTATTGTATAGCTAACAAAACTACTTCTTTAAACCTATACGGTGTGTTACATAACAGTTAAGAGTAGAAAGCTCACATTGTAAATCAGTTTAAATAATATTTCCAAATTAGATGAAATTATCTATTATATTTTAAGCTAATAAAAAAGAAGTTTATAAGCGTGAATGGTATATGAATTGTATGAAATGCTAACTATTCTCTTGTCATTTAGACTAGATTTATCAAAATTTGAGAATACTTTTATGATACTTAATTGTTTGTGGACAGTTTTCACAATCATACTACTTCCTGTGATTGAATGATCCGTAGATATTTGTCATTATTTGAGATTAACTCAATATTTTCAAGGGAACAATGAATATACAGAGTTGGTTAAGGATTTTGTATCTGATAATAAGTAAGAAGTGAAGCTTTGATTTTTTTTTTGAGGATTAAACTAAATCATTTAAGATTTGGAGAACCCTAAGTTGATCTTAGTTGCTATAGTCTATGTCCATGGCATGATAGATAAGAAGTTTTGTACTTATTTTGAATATGATTTACAATCTATTTAACAGTGGTTTGCATTCAGATTAACTATAATTCACTTTAGGCATTGTTTACAGATATTTTAATTGAATATTAATTAGCTATCAATCTTTAAAACATGTCAGTAATGATATCTAAGTTTAAGGTGATCAGCATTAATAAACATTTTATAGGTTGTAAATTATTTGTTCGTGGAATCCATAGTTGGTCGTTAGTCATTTAGGTTCCATAGATTGGTAATATTTAACTAGTCTACGGTAATGGATGTATATAATGATCTATGGAATAGAATCCTATCCTAGATACTTCAATATACATATGAACTTTTCTGTTTGTGCATATATTATGCGAACTTACCGTAATAACATTAGCAAAACAACTAGGACTATTCTTAATTTAGCTTGATTCAGTTTCACTTAATGTCATTAAAGTCAATTAATTTTATGGTACCTGAAATTCAAATTATCTATCAAAATAAATTAAAATATGTACAATAGACAGTTAAACAACTGATGAACATACACTTTTTCGTAGTTTCTTATATAAATGATCGATTTCATCTACATTTTTATAGGAGAACTTTACATTATCCAAATAGTTTATTGAATCGCCATTACAATCAATACATTTCTGTACATTATTATTTATACAGTTAATATTTTTCATTGGTAAAGTAGGGATTACTGGGACTCTTATGGATTTTTCTGATAATTGTTGTATTGATGTTTTTTCTAAAAGATTTGTACTTTGATAGTGATTCTCAATTAATGACGATAAATTTGAACATTGTGAGAAGGAAGCTAAATTATTAGTGTTATTATTGGTATTAACATCTGTTTCTATGTTTAATGATTCAAGTTTATTAATATTCCTTTGTGATTTCAATTGATTAGACAAAATATAGGGATGATTATTGTTTTGATTTGTTGAATGATAATCTTCTGTTGATATCCAGTTCATTATTCAGATATAGGAGTGTGAAAAACTTCCAAATCTGTTATTGATATGAAACTGAAGTTATCTATCTGTCTTTTACTTTATGAAGATCGTTGTACTTAAACGATAATAAATACTGGGTTTGATTCAGATTTAACATTTCTTTCTTTGTCATTCTAAATGTTTATGTTGCATACACATAAAAAATCATGCATATGTACAGATCGTCTTTTATCAATCCCAACTACGTTAATGTCTCTCACTATCGTTAGATTAAAACAAGTTGAGAAACATGCCAATATTGTTGTATTCGATGTCAAGGGCAACCAAAATTACTTTCAACCAATCCGATTAAGAGAAAAGCGTTTCAATTAGTACACGCCCATAAGTGATTAGGAAATGTCTAATTATTTTTTTCATGCTTTTTTCCTTGTCAATTGCTATGTTTTTAATACTTATTTTATTGGCTTATTCAAACAAAGTTTTCACCCTATATTTCAGAAAGAGAACAACAACAATAACAAGGGTATTGCCTTAAATTATTTATCATGATCTCGAGAGCATGATAAAATTCCAAACCAAATACCATTGAATCTGTTATTCTAGAATAAGACAACTAAATTATAATATCCAACACTCACCATAACATGAAAGCATTTTGGTCACTTTGTTAAGAATGAAACCCAATAATTAATCGTCTTGCGGGACATTTTTGGTAGGCTAGAGCTAAACATGAATTAGAATAATTTTCGTTGCCAGAAAATTTATAATATGTTTGAGTCTCATATACAAAGATTCAGATACACTGTAACATGTATTCACTTGTGTCATTATAATCGGGTGAAGCAGTTATAATCACCTCCTATCTTCCTCAAACTTAATTTAATCGTTTCAATTCTTCGATAGCATACAATTTTTGCTTCTTTCTACACCATTTCTGATCTTGTTAATTTCTCTCTCTTTCCATGTTAATGTGGAATATGGCAACTTGGACCGATGCTCATCAATATTATATCCTATGTTATCTGTAAGTGATTAACTGAAAGTTACTCATTGCTCCAAATTTTATTTAGCATGTACCAAACTGTTAGGTCTGGTGGTCGCTGATTGTTGTGCCGGAAAAACGCTGATCACTTATACTCGGAACGAGGGACCTCTGCAATTCCCACGACGCGAAAGTAAGAACACAAAGACTGGTATAAGTGAAGATTTATTAGCCCCAAAACACTATGACGACGACAAAAATGATTCTACTAGAAAATACACTCATTTATATATTGATTGTACACCCATTTTGATTAATAATTAGAATGAAATCACACATATGAAAAAAATCATATACTGAGCATAGTTCATGTCAGTGGAATACAAGAATATCGTATATTATACAGAATAAAATATCATACGAGAAAAGAAAACAAATACTACATTGAGTAATCATTACATTGAATCAAAACCGAAGTGATCTTGAACAAAACTCATATTGAGTAAATCAATCGAAAATTGACTTTTCTTTCCATCATATCACACACTTTCACACAAACGTAATATGAGGTTGATTATCTAGTTGAATAGACTATTGATATTCATTCAGTTGGGAAACCGTAGTTTCCTAAATGAAGAAGAGTAGTTTTTCCAGACTCACTGTTACCCATTATTTAATCATCCAAGCTCAAAATCCGTTAGATTTGTATCTATACAGCATTTCTAAAAAAAATATCTAAAACAGTTAGTCCCTTTGATAAATTTTGATAATGCAAAAATATCTAAAAACCTAAATACAACGATTTAAAAAAGAAAAACAGACGACTGTCATTACCACGATTTGACTTGAAAATTTCAAACAGATTAGGGCCCTGGGCTCGAAACCCGCGCGCGTGTGCACTGCTGAGGAGCCACATACTAGGGCGAAACAGGAATCCAGTGCTTTTAGGTTTTTATTGGTGGTCTAGTTGACATCACCCCATGAATTCAACTATTAGAATTAGGTCAATGGCTTTTATCATTCAAGCTTGTTGTTATTTGCAAAAGCTGTTTGTCCTACTACTAAAAGATCTGAAATTAAGTTGCGAAACTTCAGAAATTCAATTTTCTACCTATTGGATTATCATAAATGTATGAATCTTATTAAGTGATATGTGCTGACTATCGATTGGTAGCTTGTGAAAAGTGCTACTTTTGATTATTTTATCACTTTCTAGAAATTTTATAGCAGTTAAGAATGTCCGAAATTACATTTAGTATATATACTTACTTACTTAATTACGCCTGTTACTCCTCGTGAAGGATCATAGGCCGCTCACCAGCATTCTCCATCCAACCCTGTCCTGGGCAATCCTTTCAAGCTCTTTCCAGTTCTTATTCATCCTTTTCATATCTGCTTCTATTTCCCGACGTAATGTGTTCTTTGGCTTTCCTCTTTTCCGCTTCCCTTCAGGATTCCAAGTTAGCGCTTGTCTCGTAATGCCGTTTGATGATTTCCTCAATGTATGTCCTATCCATTTCCATCGTCTTTTCCTAATTTCCTCTTCAGCTGGAAGCTGGTTGGTTCTCTCCCACAAAAGGCTGTTGCTGATGGTATCCGGCCAATGGATGTTGAGTATCATGCGTAGACAGCTATTAATAAATACCTGTACCTTCTTGATGGTGGTTGTTGTAGTTCTCCAAGTTTCAGCTCCGTACAGTAGAACTGCCTTGACGTTCGTATTGAAGATTCTGACTTTGATATTGGTTGAAAGTTGTTTTGAGTTCCATATGTTCTTCAGTTGAAGGAATGCCGCTCTAGCTTTGCCAATCCTCGCCTTGACGTCTGCATCTGAACCTCCTTGTTTATCGACGATGCTTCCCAGGTATGTGAAGGATTCCACATCTTCCAGAGTTTCGCCATCAAGAGTGATTGGATTGCTGTTCTCCGTGTTGTGTTTGAGGACCTTGGTTTTCCCTTTGTGTATGTTGAGGCCTACTGATGCAGAGACTGCTGCTATGCTGGCTGTCTTTATCTGCATTTGTTCGTGTGTATGTGATAGGAGGGCTATGTCATCTGCGAAGTCCAAGTCGTCTAATTGGTTCTGAGCTGTCCATCGTATGCCGTAGTTTCCCTCAGATGTCGAGGTCTTCATAATCCAGTCGACCACCAGAAGAAACAGGAAGGGAGAGAGTAGACAGCCTTGTCTTACTCCGGTCCTTACTTGGAATGCGTCTGTCAGCTGTCCTCCATGCACTACTTTGCACTGTAGTCCATCGTATGAGTTCCGGATAATGTTGACAATCTTCTCAGGAACTCCGTAGTGTCGAAGAAGTTTCCATAACGTTCTCCTATCTACACTGTCAAATGCCTTCTCATAATCAATGAAGTTGATGTAGAGTGACGAGTTCCACTCAATTGATTGTTCGACGATGATCCGTAGTGTCGCAATCTGGTCTGTGCACGACCGGTCCTTACGGAATCCGGCTTGTTGATCTCGAAGTTGAGCGTCAACTGCGTCTTTCATCCTGTTCAGTAACACTCTGTTGAAGACTTTACCCGGTATTGACAGTAGTGTAATGCCTCTGTAGTTTTCACACTTGCTCAGATCTCCTTTCTTTGGAATCTTGATGAGGTGTCCTTCTTTCCAATCCATCGGCACTTGTTCCGCCTCCCAAATCTTCTTGAATAGAAGATGAAGCATGCTTGTAGTTACTTCGATGTCTGACTTCAACGCTTCAGCTGGTATATTGTCAGGCCCTACTGCTTTCCCGCTCTTGATTTGTCTGACGGCCATTCTGATTTCTTCTGTCGTTGGTGGGTTGACATTTATAGGAAGATCTGTGTGTGCTGCTTCGATGTCCGGTGGATTCATTGGAGCCGGCCTGTTCAGGAGTTCCTCGAAGTACTCTGCCCATCTGTTGCGCTGTTGCTGAATCTCAGTGATCGGTCTTCCTTCTTTATCTTTGACTGATCTCTCTGGTTTACTGTATTTCCCTGCAAGCTTCTTCGTCGTATCGTAAAGCTGTCTCATATTTCCTTCTCTTGCAGCTTTTTCCGCCGTCGTTGCTAGTTCTTCCACGTATTTTTGCTTATCAGCTCTAATGCTCTTCTTCACTTTCTTGTTTGCTTCTATGTACTCTGCTTGTGCTTGGACTTTCTCTGCTCTTCTTCGACTGTTGTTAATTGCTGTCTTCTTGTTTTTTCTTTCTTTGATCCTGTCCAGTGTTTCTGTAGAGATCCATTCCTTGTGATGATGCTTCTTGGGGCCAGAACCTCTTGACACGTTGAAGTTAATGTTTCTTTGATACCTTTCCAGCTATCCTCCATAGTAGTTTCTTCTTCCTTCAGTAGATCCTGTAAGGCTTGGAACCTGTTGTTGAGAGCTACCTTGAATTCATTGAGTTTGTCAGTATCTCGAAGGAAGGCTGTATTGAACCTTTGTGGTGCTGTTTGTCCAGTTGTCCAGTTCTTCTTTAGCTTCAGTTTCAATTTGGCCACAACCAGGTGATGATCTGAAGCTATGTCCGCTCCTCTCCTGGTTCTCACATCTTCCATTGTCCTTCGGAACTTTTTATTGATGCAAATGTGATCTATCTGGTTCTCTGTGGTGTGGTCCGGTGAGATCCACGTAGCTTTGTGTATACGTTTGTGTGGAAATGTTGTACCGCCTATGACCAATTTATTGAATGCACACAGATTTGCAAATCTTTCCCCGTTTTCGTTTCTCTCTCCCAGTCCATGTAGTCCCATGATGTCTTCATATCCAGTGTTGTCCATTCCGACTTTGGCGTTTAGATCTCCCATCAGAATGGTGAGGTCCTTTCTTGGGCACTTCTCTATGATTGATTGCAGCCTCTCATAGAATTGATCTTTAACGTCGTCGTTGCTATCATTGGTGGGTGCATAACATTGAATAATGTTCATTGTGACCCCTCCTTCTTTGTTTTGAATGATGCTTTGATGATTCTGGATCCGTGAGATTGCCATCCTACAAGTGCATTTCGTGCTACTGTGGATAGCATTAGAGCAACTCCCTGAGTGTGTGGAGCATTTTCCT